TTAATGCTACTGATGTACCAAAATTGCAGCTGCAACAGATAAAATTCGATAATTAAAATATTTGAAAATGCAATTTGAATAACTGGGACTTCTAACCCATTTTTATGAAAGCAAATGCATTGACTTTTATCACTCAAAGGGCAAGCATTCATTCATCAATAGAAGGGGTAGGCAGTATGGATTTAATGAGTTGAAACAGACAAAATAGAACCTGAAAATACTATAATAATGACATTTATACAGTTCAGTGTTTACTAAGTGCACTGCATTAAATCCAATTAAATAGACTTACTTACGCTCACTTTGTAATGAAACGTGTTTAGTCAGTGTTCAAGTGCTGACCACATTAAGGTTGAATGGAAGATTAGAGTAAGAAATCTGGCGAATAAGATGCGAAGTTCAGCTTGTTGCAATAATGTTGAGTTTTAATTGCCTAGTTCAGTTCAAAAGTGTTTGCAGGGCTTATGCTATGAACAGACTCACACTTCAATGGCTGGGCTTTTTGTCTTAAGAAATTATAATTCTAAGCATTGTGATCCCCCACCTCTGCAGGTATTGAAGTTCTGTTGGAGAACCTTTATTTATCTTCACCCAATCACTATGTGTAATATATAATTAAAGTTCTGCTTTTTTTTTTTAATATCTAGAATCAAATTGAATCAAAAATTGACTCAAACCTGAAAATATGTGTATTGGTATTTATTATTTGTGTCAAACGTAATAAATTGTGGTGCAAAAACAACACTACATACTTTTATCAATTTTGTGTATTGTTATGCCCCCATATTGTACAGTGATTCTTTCTGTAAAGGTCTGAATTTGAGACCTGTTTAAATATTACTTGCCTGTTGGCTATCTGCTACAGAATGTAAATGTGGCACCATTTACGCTGGAACGGGAAAATTTGAACAAGAAGCTGGTGAATAAGAAGCTGACTTCATCTTCGCAACTTTTTAGTGTTTGACAGTTTCTCGTTGCAGGTTTAATGTTCCAGGAAACCAACTGTGGTGCTTATAAATGCGAATAAGTCCATTCGCCTCCGCATATTTGTCTTATATCTCTCTCTTTGCCTTTTCGTTAGCTCTAGCTAGGCAAGACCTTGTTGCTATGTGACCTGCAGTCTGCACGCCAGTTGTCAGTCATTGAGAACCAGGGCTTTCGCACTATGTTGCACACTTTGGAGCCGAGATACAGCATCCCGTCTCGAAGAGATTTTATATATAGATAATAATATTCTATGACACAGCGATGCCCACTCTCTACAACGAGACCAAAACCGAAGTTACAAAATCAAAACAATATACAAGAAAACAGGTAGGACAGCTGTAACATGTGCTGCGTGGACATCCATTGCTACTGGATCTTATTTCACCGTAATCGCGCATTTTATCATAGATGAGTGGCAGCCAGTGTCTCATGTGCTCCAAACAAGAGCAGTGAATGAGAGCCTTACAGTTCACTTGCCACATCACTTCAATTTGTTTTATTAATAAAAGATATTGGAAGTAAATTCATTATGGATGATTACAAATACTTAAAAGTACCAAGTCCTCACACAGTGAGAAAAAATCCTGTATAGGATGCATTGATCGTTTTATAATTGCATCGCAGCCCTCTGAATCGTAATCGAATCGTGAGGTGCCTAGAGATTCCCACCCCTAGCTGTCAGTCAGTGGCGCTTCATGATTGCACCTGTGATGCTGGCGAAGATGAAACTGAAAGCTCCGGAAGCGACTGTCGTTCGTTGATAGTCATGATTGTTTACCTCTGGATGAGCCATGTGAAGCAGCATTGTTCTTTTACACATGCGGGTCAGTTTAGGAGCTGATCTATTCAGACTGATTTCGCATACAGATCACATTTAAAAGATATTGTGCACAGCCAAACTGAAAAATCGGATTTGGTGAGAAATTGGAAATGGGCCACTTTTACCAGCTGTGTGAACATAACCTTAACTTCCACGCGTGGTAGTAGGTTTTTAAGGGGACAGTACATAAACACACATAGCAGGGTAAGGAGTAACAGAATTGTAAAAAATCAAAGTAACTGACATGGGCAAGATTACATCGGTTAGAGGTTCTGAATGTCTGTTTCGATTACTTTTCGATTAATTGCCCAGCCCTAATTGTCATGTATTTGTCATTAGGCCTGTCACATTTATTACCTAATCACTCGATCACAGTTATTTGAGGTAATCACATTTAACCTTATTTAACCTGACTGCAATTATTTTTCACAGTGATTAGATTTCACATTTGTATTGTATCACAACAAGCATAATATAAGCCGGATTGTTTTCATTAGTTAGAGTAAACGGAATAAATGTAAGAGATCACTTATTTCTTCTAACTTGTGTGATATAACATGTTTGGGGGAAATGGTTGTTAATTTGACAGCTAGTATGGCTGATGCTGATTTTAGCATGTATGTGTTGAAGGAGGGTTTTTTGCTCACGTTTTCACAGTCTTGAGAAAAAAGGCAAGCTTTGACTCTGTTCACCTGTACACTTGTTGCACATTGCAGGGAATCATTACATTTTCACAGTCTCAAAAAAAAAAATGTAGACTTTGGTTGACTCTAACCATAGACACTTGTTGCACAGATCATCATCTCTTGTTAGCTGCAAAGTGTAGACTTGTACTTTAGTAGTGGGACAATGGACAGTCAAATCTTTGATGGCAATTATTTTTACATTTATTCTTCAGCTAAAATGTCATGATCGTGACAGGCATGTTTGTCATAGTTCCTTGGAAACAGCCAAAATGTTTCAGAGGCACTACTTGTATTTCAAAATTTACCTCAGTAACCACTAATTTTAAACTTGACAGGAAAGTTGTGCGATGAGAGCCAGAAGCACAGATAGTGTAGGCTTTGGTTCATCAGCCTGCGTTTTCTTGCTCCAGGGGTTGATTAGCAGGGTGAAATCAAATTAACAGGCTGGCTGGATCATTACCTTCAGTACTGCTCATTATATAGCCAAAGAAGGACTGCCATTCGCCAAAGAGAAAAAGCAGCTTCTGTGTGTCAGTACACTAAGTGGTTGACAGGGCTATATTTTGCAAACTTGTTTTTATTTTGTTTACACCTTCATGCTCTTATCCCTCCCACGAATACATACACATTCTTGTCTGTAAATAAGGGCTGAAGCTTAAAGCGTCCTGACTTTAAAGCATCTGTCATTTACTGTCTTTCCTTGGAACCACTGTCAATGATCTAAATTAGGCACTGGTGCACATCCTATCAGAGTAGAGGGGAATGGGCTTCTGCTATGCATATAGTCACACGTGAAAGACTAAACGTTTTTGGTGTTACTTATAAACTGTAGAGCATGGGTGGGCAATGTGATATTATTATTGTGATAATTTGTCATATTAAGTCACAGTATGCTTTTCTGACTATGTTGTGACTGCTGTTAGTACTTGAGGACTGACCAACGTTTCATTGAATTTTGTGCAGTACAGTATGTAAAATGTTAAATTGTCATATTTACAGTTTTTGAAAGTATTTTTACTGGGGCTTTTTATTTCCTGTTCTAATTTATCAAACCACTGAAAAATTAAATATCATAATACTGTGTTGTGAAATGTCTTGCCTTATGATAGTTTTGTCAAATTGCCCACCCCTACTTTAGAGGGGCTTATTTTGTTAATTGGCCAGGCCACTCTGAGTAGTATATAATCAGAGCTCTGTAGAATAAACATATTTTAAACTAAATTATTGGATCCTCTGAAAATATGTGCATCTTCACACTCCTGTCTGTGAATAACAGTTATTTCTTTAAAATGATAAATCTGTTGCCTGGTGATTTTAGTTTAGTTGATTTATTCAATAAAAAACAATATTTCTTATCTGCAGTTACTTTTCCTTTGTTTACTATACTGTCAGCATTTGTATTTTAGACTGTACAACAAGTGTATCTTTGTTTATGGTAAAGTAAAAGCCATACTGGCTCCTATGCTTCCTGTCATGTATTGCGTCGGTTAGAATGGCTGCAGGCTTGCCTGTATTGTAGAGAATTGTAGTGCTGTCCTGTGTTGGCATACAAATACAGTGCTGGTGCTGCCATTAAATAAGCGTGCTACCAAATAATGGTGGCTCTGCTGTTGAAAATGAAAGGTTTGTATCCTGCTTTTGAGAAATCAGCATAGTTCTGTGTTTGACTTGACTTGACATTATTAGTTGTAGGGCTTATTTGCCCAACTCAGATTAAGATTGTAGTGTATACTAAATAGGGCCATCATGTTCATGAAGTTTTAGTTGATGATTGTCGTAAATAATTCAGTTAATAATTTTGTCTCTTCTTGTTCGTTGTTTGCTACTATTAAAATACAAGCTTAAAGTGGCCACCTTACTTGCTAGCTATGTTTACTTGGCAAACACTGACAAGGCTTCATATTGCTTGTTTAAAAATCTAAGCCGAAAACACTTCTTCTGCCAGCATACATACTTAAAAGGTTATAATTAGCTACATAGCTAACAAATAAACTACGCAGTGCTGGCCTTTAAAAATGTTAACGCACCAAGTTAGCAGTTACAACATTTTTGTTTTCGTATGTATGTTGCGCCCCATAATGTCTCAGTGAATTCATTTACTTTTTTTTTTTTATTACATTTATTTGCCTAAACCCGCCACACGCAATTCACGTTTTGTTTGTTGTGGTATAATATGACTGAATCTCACAACTGTGCAGAATGATTGCTGCAAGCTTAAATAACTCATCTCAAATAATTGAAATTAGACGACTATGTAATAATTGTCAGGCCTAATACTACATGGGCCTTTTAATGGTGGAACACCCTTGACATTGTACTTCAGCTCACAACCAGGCCTAATTCATGTTCACAAAACCAGCCCTTACAGTCTATTAAAAAGTTAAGTGTGTGTGTGTGTGTGTGTGTGTGTGTGTGTGTGTGTGTGTGCGCGTGTGTGCGCGTGTGTGCGCGTGTGTGCGCGTGTGTGCGCGTGTGTGTGTGTGTGTGTGTGTGTGTGTGTCTCTCAGCTCCAGCTACTCTTCATCTGCACTTGATTACGAGAGGGAGCACAAACTTGCTCCCGTGTTCGACTCACCCAGGATGTCACGACGCAGCCTACGGCTGAATGCCAGCACCTCTCACTACCGTGATGACAGTCTGCTGGACTCCTCCCAGAGCCGCAGCATCTCCTACAGCACAGGAGGCTCTGTTCACAAGGAGAGCAAGTGAGCTGGATTTATTTCTGAAAAGACTGTGCCTGCAGGACCAAAAACCTAGACTGGTTTCATCCCTGCAGGTTCAGTTCTCTTACTTTTTATTAAAGCAATGATTTGGCCAAAAGATTTAATTCACAAAACTTTATTCTTATGCCAAATCAAGCTGGTTATAAAGATCTGTTTTGAGTTTTAAGTTTGCTTTTTTAGCTTTGCATAGGAGCTGCGAGGCTAATGTAGACAAGACAAATGCTTTACACAGAAACACATGCTTTACACAGACACTCCTATGTATGTATATATTTATATCTCACTTCTTCAGATGTGTCTAATTGAAATCAGGTGCACCACCTGTGGCGTAGCTAAAACAGAAGTAATTTTGCCCATACTTTTTATGCAGAGAACAGTTTATTTGGTTTCATTTATTCTCTGTCTGGCTCTCTCTCTGTCTCTTTCAGAACATTGAAGAGCAGGAGGTCCCATAACACCACATCTGGTTCAGGTTCTCTGCTTCAGACTCCGGTGAAGAACCAGTCTAACTCTGTGCTGCAGGCGCACAACAGCAGCCTGCACAGCTGTGCTGCCAGCGATGCCTCACTCCTGTCCTCCCTGCTGGACGAATCATGCATACAGGAGCGCACTCTCATTGACAGCGTCTGGGGTCAGTGCATCAGACTGGACTATCTGCAGTTATATCCACCAGTGTGCCTCATGATGATGATGGTGATAATGATGGTGATGGTGATAAGCTGCTGAATGAATATTGTTTTCCTTTTTTTTGTAAATTAGGATTGGATGAGGATGGAGATCTCAAAGGTATGTCATCTCTCAAACTGATGTTGTACATGATACTTGATGGCTTTTTTTTCCAACAAGTATTTTGAATATGTACAAAAATAGACTGACAGTTACTGGAAGAATGTTATGTTTATTGTTGTGCCCTATAGAGGTCGTGGCTTTTTTTTACTTTGAGATTCACTGAAAGAGGCTCCCTGTTTAGAATGCCCTGAACTATTTTTTATTACAAATATATTTCACTACAGTTCTATTTAATTATGACTTTCTTGGAATCTCTTCAGTTAATGATGAAATATCTATAGAAATGTGATCTAGGGAACTATTTACACAGTGTGAAGTATAGACAACAAGACTAGTCTGAAAATGACCAGATAATTTTGTTTTAACCAAAAATGCATTCTTTTACAAGTACGAACACTATTACATTTTATCGCTGTTTTCACAGGTTTGTTTCCATCAATACAGTATGCACTGGGGAGTGAATAGTATGTTTTGAAACTAACAATGTGTGCATACGCAATTTCAAAAAAGTGGGAAAAGTTGACTTCACATGATATGGGCCCTTTAAGGACCATGTTACATTGTTTGTTACTTGTTACATTTACATTGTTTATACTTTGGGGGACAGAAGTGTACCTGTGCGCTCCTCTTTTTTTATTTATTTTTTTTTGTTTGTTTGTTTTTCCTGACTGTGTAGATTGATGCATTTGCTCAGGTGTGGATCTGTTTGTGCCTGACAGTTTTCTTTGGCATTTTTCCTTTTAGATCGGAATCTAAGAATGGATCGCAGTTTCACTTCTGTGAATAACAGTAATATAAGCATGGCTCAGACTCAGACATTCACTGTGACCAGCGGTTACATCTGCAAAGATTGCACTGCTGGCCACTCTGATAATAGAGATGCTCTGCCCGCCTACTCTACCTCCAAACCCTGCTCTTCCTCCTCCTGCTCCTACTCCTCCTCCACTTCTGCTCTGCACATTGATGCCAGAGATGGAGCCTCCTCTCCCTACACTACAGTTTACAGCAGAGAGAAAAGCCGTCGACACAGATCCGGTGAGAAATCATTCTGTGTGACTTGCAGAATAGGGCTTTCACCAAGACGTAGGACTTGGTTATGTGGTTTGACAGTTGACAAATGTTTTATATTTGGTGAAAGCGGCTCTGTGCCCAAAGCCCTCTAGATTTAAAGGTGGTTTTCCATTCTTATTCTGAAAGATCCCTGCCCTGGATATATTGATGTTCTTTCTGCTTCATCTCAGCTGAGGGGTATTTCATAATTCTGGGTTTTCCTCAAAGCTGCACGATTTAAAACAAAACTGTTTGTCCAGAAGAAATCCCTTACCTCCTCTCCAATTGCAGCATCCTGACTTGGGAATTCTTATGTATTCAGTTGTTCTGTGTCAAGTCTAAAGATTCAATCAGTGAGTGACATTGTTATGTAGGGTTGTAATTTAATGTAGAAGAGCATAATCATGGTTGCAAGGCAGGTCAGTATTATTTAATGAACTGAATATTTTGGTATTCATTCAATACTCTTAACTGAAAGCGCTAAACAATAAAAATGGAATGAAAGGGTAATTCTACCAGCCATGAAACAGTGCAGTGTAGAGAAACAAATGATATAATACATAATACATTCTTCTATAATGGTAGTTATAGGAACCAGTGGTCTCTGGTTGTGGCTATGCTCACATTAAAAGTCTAATTGCTCGATTCAGATTTTTTTTTTTCTCTGACTTTTTGTAACATGATGGTTTACGCTTATTTAGGTAAATCTGTCATAATGCAGACAAAACCTCTGTCCTGAAATTACCTGCGTACGCACATCCTATTCAATAACGTCATGTGATTTGAACCACGTGCATCGTGAACAACAGACTAGCAGAACAAGCCTTCATCGCGAACATAATTTTCTTTAAACTGCTCTCAGCTGTTCATTACTAGAGCTACACAAAGGTAAAAAAGCATAGCTTTTGCACTGTTTACTGGCTCTAACTTCAGGTTCAGCCTTGCTGTCTTGGTAACACTGAACGATGTGCATGCTTGGTTTAAAAAAATAAATAAATAAATAAATTCCACTCCGACCATTCTCACTAAGGTTACATGGCCTTGAATCTGATCTGTATTTGATCTAGGACCACATTTGAAATAGAGATGCACCGATACAACTTTTTCCCTTCCGATACTGATACCTGATCCTTCAGTATCGGCTGATACTGAATACCAATACTAACAACTTTTTCCCTTCCGATACTGATACCTGATCCTTTCAGTATCGGCTGATACTGAATACCAATACTAACTTTGTCTTGACTTGCGTAAGTCCTGATATTTATACAGCGAAATTTTAAAAATATTTTATTTCAGTAAAATCTATGTTCTGCATTACAAATAAACCATGCTCTGCATGGCTAGATAGCATTTACTTGTTGGATCATATTTATTAGATGCTTAAGAAAACTTTTATTTTTGTTTATTTACTGTATCTGTTTAGTATTTACTATTATATAATTAGAAATAAGAACCATGTTTAACAATTTACGTAAATGCAAAACGTCTTTATTGTGCAGAACAGTTAAAAACAGAACTGAGCAGTATACAGATAAACCTGTGGTGTTTACACATCAGCACACAGCAGCTTCTATTTCTCAAAAACAGAACTGAATGTTGTTTCACATACAAATATCTCAAGTCATTTGTTTCATAGGTGCGTCCTGTTCACCTGGCTGCATCTATGAGTTCAGGAAATATCAGTCATTCACGCTGTCAGTATTAGCGACTTGCAGTGTTTTTCTGGCTTGGTTGCAGTGACAGGCCGCGAGACCCTGCTGCTGAGTGGTACAGCTAACCGACGGAGGCGCACCACTGACGGAGCTATTGAACACACAGTCCCAGCTAGCGGGCTGCTATGCTAAAGGTTAAATCGAGGCTAGATGCTATCGTTACACCAATAGTCCAGCGGTTCCTTCGGCTCTCTAAGTAACATTAGCGCAGTCTGTAAGTGACCACACAGCGGCAGGCGAGTGATAACTAAAAGAGCAGCTCAGCCGTTCAGGTAAGCGGCTCTGTAAGCGTGTTTTTCTCTGCTGTTACAGATTCTGCCATGAGCATTTTTACTGCTACCCTGCTGACATGTTAAGTTCTGTCTACTGGAGCGCACGCACACGCATCAGAAATTGCTTTGTGGTATCAGTCATATATATTGCGTTAAAGTGCCAGTATCAGCGCCGATACTGATACAGTATTGGTATCGGTGCAACACTAATTTGAAAGTGGCTCAGATCTAATTTGAAAAGATCAGATTGTGTGTCCATGCAGCTCTGAAATAATCAGAACCTACATATATCTTATGAGTTTTCGTGTGTAATGTTGATAACGGTAAAGCAATGGTAAATCTGAGGGGGTAAAAGTTATTTTTAGGTATTATTTTGCATTGTAACGTCTTGCATGTACCTCTCTGCAATTAAATGGCTTTTATTACTTTTTAGACTGAAACCTACCTTAAAAACAAGGACTAGGCAGCATATTCACAATCATTTTGTAGGATAACTTTGTGATGTTGCTTTTAGAGGCATTAAACATCTCAGACTTCTGGTTCCCGTCACCACTACTGTGAACAATTATGACTCTCTAGAATGTTGGATTCTCCATTAAACCACTCTGTAAGACTGTTTACATCTTAATGATTTAATTATGCAGAAATTGGTGGAATTGTTCTTGAACTGAACAATAACAAACCATATTCAGCCATTCCAAAATACTTTATTATAAAAAGATAAATCTATGAAGTTGTTTAAAAAGACTTCTTTTAAAAATGTTATGTGAACATTATATGGCAGGGAGTATGTGCCATCAGGCAAACTCACGATGAATCTTTGCCAGTTCTTCAACAATATATATTTGAATTGATTTTCTTTTTTTTCCTTAAAAATGCAAGTCTTATGTTATGTGGCAGTGTTTGTGTTGTGTTCTTAAAGGCCATTGTGGATCATGTGCAGCTCCATGTGTTTTATAGGAGTCTGGTTTATCTTTAGGTCTGCTGAGACTGCTCTTTGAGGCCTGCCTGCATTACAGCAGGAAAGCTGCTGCCTCTGTAGTTTTTGTCTTTGCCCTGCTAATGCAGAGCATTCTGCCGAAGACTGATCAACAGGGCAAAGGTACTGTCTTTTTGCCTGCTTCTCAACTCAACACCTGCTGCCTTGCTGTGTTTTATCCTTATCCCCTTTTTTTCTGGTGCAATTAATAATTTTTTAAAACACCTGGTGGTGCTTCTGACCTTCTGCATTCTTTCTCTCTCACTAGGAAAACAGAGTGAGATAAAAGTTGTGCTTATGCTGTATAGGACCTAAAGAACAAGTGGTCATTAGTAGGTTTACTGTAATGCCATATAACTGAAATGTGAAAAGTCACTTTCGGCTTTTTTCAATTTGGAAGGTGCTGCATCATGGTCTTCCATTACAAAAAGAAGCAAGGACACCATTGGTCTCTGGTCCTAGTAATCTCCATGATGGCGTGATGTGCGCAGTCTGTCCTCTCCGATTCACTAGCCCATCCCCCTCCCCAGTAGTTTTTGGAGCAGACTATATATATTTTCAGTTTGGAGTATAGCTATGTGTTTACGGTTGAAGACTTGATGGAGGTGGAAGATAAAACATTGAATTTCGAAGCATCAATACAACAAAACGTTTTTTAAAAAAAGTTTGAGAAATGATGGAGATTTTAACACAACTTTATTTTGAGTATGTTTTTACATTTTACATGTCTATGTATTGCTGAATGCTTGGAAACAGACGTCTGTTATCAACCTCGATTGAGTAGTTTAGTATTGAGAGAACTTGAATATTCTAAGATAAAATTTGCTTTGGTAATAGAAATTTGTGAAAAATCTTATCTTGATCTTGTCAGATCTTAACTTAGACAGGACGTTTCTGTAATCTTGTTATTGATAGCAGTAAAGCCAGTGACAGCAGCACAAGTCAAAATTTTGACTGACCCGGACGTTAAATTCCACAGAAAATTCTTGATCACTAAACTAGTGGTAGATGAGCTGTTTTGGGTCAAGTGGCAGCGAGTTGCAAATATAGCTATACCCACAACTGAAATGATGCAAAGAAACTCTGGGACATGTAGGAATAATGCTTTGTAGGTTCTAGAGTAAAACAAGTGCATATCTCTAGAACTATACTCCAAAATGTAATTAAATTAAAATAAAATTAGTGGATTGTTGTGAGTTAATGAGTCTTGATGTGAATTCTGTTTTTATCAGCACTATAGGCTGAGGTTCACACTGCATGCAAATCAGCCAGAGAAGAGGGAGCTCCTGAGGCTTTCACTCTCACAATGTGACCAAACAACTTTCTTTAAGACTTTTACTCCTAACATCAGCATTTTCTTTATAATAAGTTTATTGAGACTCTCTGTACTCAGCTGTTATGTTCCTGGCGCCAGCAGTATTAATGTTGAAAATGAAAATGCTTATTGTGTTGGTTATTTGTATCTGTGTACTAACCTTCATCTCTCTACAGCCCTGCTGTGGTCAGTGACAGACTGGTGTGCGAGTTTGTGCAAGAAGGTGGCCAGCTTCTCAGCAGCAGCCCTCACACTGCTGACTCGGTCTGCTGGGCTAAGGGGAGCCAGCAGTGTCAGTGCTAATGGAGGTACTAGTGGAGGCTTGAATACTGCTGTAAGGGGCTCAACTGATGTTAAAATGTTAAAAAAATATATATACAAATAAATGAATATAATTACCAATACCAATTTTAAGAAGTTAAAAATTCTAAAAACTTATATAGGCAATAGAGTTTTGATTTAACTGGTAATACTTCCTTTTGTCACATATGTGACTTTCTGTGTGCTAGAGTTAAAAAAACATTATGATTAAGAACAAGGTCTTTAATGCATTCTACTTATCTTACCTTAAAACGTAACCTGAAAGCAGTTAAATAACATGAGCTCTTACAGTAGCTAGGTTTCCATCTGTGCATTTTTATGCAAACTTTGACATAACAAATAATAGAAACAGCAAATATCAAATAAAATCACCACATTCACTAAACTGCTTGTATGCTCGCGTGAGGTTGATGATTTTTTTCTCTTGAAAAGAAATGCCATAAACTGTGATGGAAATGCATTTATCACATTTATCACATTTATCACTGGCTATGGTTGCGAAACATGACAAATTAGCAAATACCAGTTGACTGATACGATGCATCAAATGTATTTTTATCTCATCGAAGGAAAAAAGCATTAAGGTGATATTAAACACTTAACGGACATAAAGTGCCTGTAGCTGATTAGTGAAGATTCTAGTGAAGTTTCATAAAATTAAACAAAACAGCAACGAGAAGTTCAAAGATTTCTCAGTAGAAGTCATGTTTTTAAAACACTGCTGTCGGAACAAAACTTTGTATCTCCTTTTTTGTTGTTTTTCAGTTTTTGACATAATTGAAAAAAAATGTTGCCCTTTGCATTGTGTGTAAATTTCATGATGAACAGACCAAAAGAAATGGCCCAGAATGCCTTGGAAAAATGTCTGGTTCCGTTGACTTACAGTTACAGTAAAAGTAAAGTATGTTTCTTTCTTTCTTCTGTAAAGTTCTCATTTTGGAGAAACGAGGATTTATTCAAACAGCGAAATGTTTTACAGCTGCAAAACTAATTTGCATCATTTTACATTACATTATTTCAGTAAATGTTCAGTTATCTGAGTTTAATTTGAAGGCTTGATAGAAACCTGACTACAAGGGCAATTTTAAAGCATGTTATCACTTCCACTTAAAGGGGAATCCCACCATTTTAATCATTAAGACGTAATTTAGACTGATTTAACGTGAAATGCGCTGTTTAGAGATCCTTCAGTCAGATTTATTTACAGTAGTGGTCATAGGAAGGGTTTAAAGCCTCTAAAAGCTTTCTCACAAAGTAATTGCATTAAATGATTATGAATATGCTTTCTGATGAATGGGAAATTGTCTCATGATAGTTTTTTTTAGATAAGCTCTTGGCATAAAATGCGTTTTGTAAATGCGTTAATGGTGGAGATGTACGTCAAATACTCCCCAAAGAATTGTTTAACGAAATGTTTTCCACTGGTTTTGTTCTGTTGAGCAAACGATACATTGGTTGGGCCTTAGTTACTGCCTACCTACTTGTTTCTTTTATTTCACAAAATGCAAAGATTGATGAGGTTTCTTAGATGCGACTGGGTGCCGAATCAGCATTGTGTTCTAAATTTGTATTTCTAAGAATCTGAGTCATCTGTTGTGTTCTTTCCTGGCTAAAGTGTCTCCTGCCAGTGTCTCCTGGCCTGTTTCTTTTCATCTGACTCTGTACTGAAACCTGTCTTCCCACTTGAGGTGTTGGTGTTTGTGGTTTTTGAGGTTTTGCTGACTGCGGTGTGAATCCACATCACCCTCAGAACCTGCTGAGTCACATCCTCTGTCTCCTATTAACCTCACACATTTAGCAGAGCACTTCAGATCTGACCTCTCTTCTGCAGTTTTTTTGCTTATCAGCTACTGTTTCACTGTGTCCACCACAGTTTAACCCTTTCTGTTGCAGCACTTTGTGTTGCTCTTACTGAGCTTGACGTATTACACATAACCAAATGGACCCCTCTTCTGTTGGAATTACCTTGGTTACATGCAAATTCTGCCCTTCTCTGTCCACTTCTGCACATCCTGAGCTCTGATCACATGGATAAGAGGAAGGCAAACAGACTGAATTGAGAAAACAGAATGATTTGAGATATTGTGTTGTCCTGTTTTTCTGCAGGTCACGCTGGTTACTGTGGGACCATGAATGTAAATGAACTGGTGACTCAGAAGGAACATCAGGATCTCAGTGGCCCTCTCTGTAAGTATACCTCTATACTACATTATAAGCACCTTGACATGCAGTGGACTTGCCACAGATATCAGCAGTGAGAATCTCTTACCATGCAGCAGTTTGCTTCTGTATGATAAGTGTCAGCACGTGAAAGTTTATCAAGTGTTGGACTCAAGGATGTTAATCATGTTCTTGCACACAGCAAACAAAACTACCATGATTCCCTGAAATGGATGCAGAAAGACTGTACCATAGCCTTCAGTCAAGGAGACAGCATTTGTTCACAAACACAGCTGCTCTATTCACTCCATTCATATGTGGCAGATCAGTTTTAGATGTATATGTTTCTGACCTAATGATATGTCCTTTTTTGATCTTGCTGTTATGTTAACGTCTTATTCTCCAGGGTGTATTTTGGTTTTTCCATCTGAATTTACATGACCAAATTGTAAGGCAAATTATTCAGTAACTGCATGAAATAAATGTACATTTTTATTTTATTTATTTATTTTTTGTAAAAGCTCCCCTCAAATGAACAGAAAATGTGTTTTATGATCATACACATATTGCTATATGCTTACAATTTACTGCTGAAAGCTAAAAATCTTTGACGCTCTTTGTATTATATTATAAAAATAATTTTTACAGAGTGCATCACTGAAGAGACATCATCTGTTTATAGTTTATAGCCCAGATTTGTGGAAAAATGTGTCAACTTTCAGTAGACAAAAAAAGTGAGTTCAGCTTCTTTTATTATAAGGGTTTAAAATTACATTACCCATCTATTTGACTGGAAAGAAGACAGTTACAGCTCTCATATGACACCTACTTTTTGAGTGTAGCTTATGAAATATGAAAGTTATGAAGAATATGATAATGTGTTTTGGAACCACCGTTGGTCTCAAGGAGTTGAAGAGGTTTGGTTTGTTTTATATTGTTTGATCTACAAATGGGTCATTCTCATGAAACAGACGCAATACATGATTAATTTTAACTGGCAAGTCTCTGAAAAAAAAAATTAAATTAAAGTCTCTAAAAAAATGTAAAAAAAAAAATGAACCATAGGTTTTAAATCTTGATGGCTGCTTTGTGGTAATGAGCTAAAATCACAGAATACTGTTTTTTGTGACATGTGTAGGTGCTAATAATTAACTAATTAATTAGTAATTAAATGGTAAAAGTCATTATTTACAGATTTATCTGCATTTGGACGGAGTATGTTCCACCCAGAATGCTATTATATCCTACAGCCAGATGTGGATCGCAGAGACTGTGCTTGTTCTGCCGCAGATGTGATTGAGTAGTTTACCTAATGTTGTCACTTTGTTTGCTGTTCGTTGTGGTTGTGTTCAAGGCTTTTGCTAACATTGCCAAAGCTCACATGAGCTAAGTAGGAAGAAATAAACCTGCAGGAGTTTTTGTCTTCCTATTTCTCCCCCCAAAGAAAGTGCTAGTTTCTTTAGTCTATATATTTAGTGTGACGTTTGATGTGGTGTCAGACTTCTTGCTTGCTCAAAGATCCCCGCCCCCTTTCCACTTGGCAAAACGTATCATAGGTAGATTCTTTGGAAAACATGCAATATTTATTTTTATTGTTTTTTTGCAGTGTTCCTCACCATCTGAACAAAGCCTTGAGAATTTGGTCTGTCATTGTAAAATGTTACTAAAAATCTATTTAAAATCAATTAAGTCGTTTAGGTTTCATTTTAATTATTAATCAGGTGCCATCATTTATAAAAACCATTTAGGTTTTAGTTTTTTAGTTAGGTTAAACCCAAGAAAACCCAAGAGTAAAAAGTGCATGTGCTTTTTTATTATTATTATTATTATTATTATTATTTGTTTATTTTCCACATTTTCTGTTTGCTCACTCTTGAATCCAACAGGTGACGACTGCAAAGGGAAGCAGAATATGAAGACAAGCACAGACTACACACGGCCGTGTAGGGCCCAGCAGCTCTTAGGGGCTCTGTGGTTCCTTTTCATTTTCACAGGTTGTGCTCTCAGTAGTATTAATCTGTTACACGTGATGTGTAATGATGGCTCAAGACTTACTGAGTGCATTACATTTACATTAATTGTTCCTTACATTAATACATGTGATTGCTACAAAGTTGCATGTTTATTGGTTGCAATCCGTAAAGATAATTTTTTTACTCTGCTTTCCCCATTGGTGGTGTCCAGGCAGCAGTCTGCTGAAGGCAGGGCAGAGGCTTCTTTCAGCAGGCTACTTTGTCATGTGGAAGATCCTGTCTGTTCTGTATTTGGCTGCAGTGTCTCCAGGTCATTGTAATGTGATTTTTAGGCTTTTTTGAAAAAGCTCTGCATGATATGTGATGTCCAGCAACAAGAATTCTCATCTTTGTGTTTCAGCCTTACCCTCCCCAAGAGCTCTATCTCCTTTAAGGGGAATTCCACCAAATTGCTTTCAAGATTTCTGCATAATTCCATGGTTTGATGTGAAATGGTTTATTGTAGACAAACTTACTAGCTCGTCACAAGTATAGCCATTTTGTTTGCCATCCACAAGACCATGTGTCTAAGTTTTTATGTGTAGTGTTTATAATGGTAATTTTGAAAACATTTTTTTCTTTAGGGGCATTTTTTAGCTAAAATGTGTCAGGTATCCAGCTCTGCATTCATAACCATTTCGTGTAATTACTTTCTTTGAGGTAATTTTTAGAAGCATTAAAAGCTTCAGACATCTGGTTCCTATCACTGCCACTGTGAACAATTCTAATTCGCTACATTTCTTTAGGACAAAGAATTTCACATCAAAGGTTTTAATAATGTACACATTTTGATCTGGAATTCCCCTTTAAAGTGACAGTTTGGCAAAAATGTGCACAATCTTTGAGGCAAGTGTGTGGTACTTTTATGCATTCAGTTTGCACAATGCTAACTAGTGGTCATAACCTTCTGTTATTTGTTAGTTACGTTAGCCTTGTAGCTCCAGCGCAAATCTAAAGAAGCAAGCATCAGACCCCAAGCACATCTTAACTATTATATTTGGAGTAAAATGAAAAAATGTGTACAATTGCACTTTTGCCCAAACCGTCATTTTAAAATAGCTCCTCTTGTTTCTGATGCTATTCCTCCGTACCCTTTATAATGTGCATTTTTTGTCAAAACATCCAAATTACTCCTAGTCCTGACAAGCTTATGCTGTTGATCACCACCGAGAATGTTTTAGGCTGGGTTGGCTTGTCTTGGCAGAGGGCCCACATCTGACTAATGAGATTTATTCCAGCTTACCTGGTTCCTAGAAAGGGAGACATTGCTTTATAGTTGTTTAGATAAAGCCACAACCAGGAAATATAGAACAAGAGTGGTATCCCTGGCATTGACAGAGTCAGATGTTTCTTACCTCAAATATTTTGACAGAACTCTGAGGGGAAGTACAAACTGTAAGTGCTTTTAAAGAAATGCATTCAAAAGCTATAAATGGAGCATTTAAATTGAATCTTCAATCCCTGTTAGTGGCTTTTACTGTAATTTGGTCAAAAGTGTTTTGAATGTTTTTGGCAGCATATTCTTTCCTCACACAATAGCTGCAGAGTCAGGGCAAAATCTTAGCTGTTGTAGCTGATTTGGTGGTGCTCTTCTCCCCTCAGTTTGTGTGGTTGAGTGGGTGTGTTTGTATGACTAACATAGTAAAGCAGATGCAGCTTCCTACTTTTTTCCCTCAGCTGATTACTCACCCTAATCTCTGTGGCTGCAGTCCCTTTACCTCACTAGCCCATTATCTAATCCCAGTTTATGTATATATGTGTGTGTGTGTGTACAGGCAAGGCAGCTTCGGGGGCATTCTGGTGGATAGGAACAGCATGGTACCAGTTGGTCACACTCATGTCTCTACTGAACGTCTTTTTCTTGACAAGGTGAGTTAATATAAGTATGATAAGAATGCACTTGCTGCCTAGCTTGCACAAAAGATTTATAAAGCACAGGATCCAATAAGATGAGTGTCTGGCCTTATCCGCAAGGGATGGTGTGGCTGCAAGCATTCATTCCAAACACCTGATTCTAACTGATTAAGCTCAGTCCTTAACAGCTGATCATGTGTGCTCCTGCTTTGTTGGAATGAAAACCTGCAGGCACACTAGCTGTTGGCAGATACGATTGGTCATTCCTGCAGTACAATCACAAATCTAGAGGAAAGAAAGCACACTGAAAAGAGGGACAAAATGTGCCTGTGTTATTGTTAGACCATTTAAAAGGAAATTTCACTAATTCATCAAAGTTTCCGCTTAATTCAGCTTTTGAGATGTAAACAAAGTCATTCAGAGTGGTTTGATGTGAAATAGGGCATTGTAGAGAAACACACTAATTCTAAACAGAATGTCTATAGTCACATTAAAAACATAGCAACCCCTGGTTCCTGTCATGACGACTGTAAAGAAGTTAGTTTTGAAACACGGACCAAAACGAGCAGTAAACCTACAGTGTTTTGAGATGATATATGTAATATTGATAGTAAAGTAAAAAAAAAACTGAGTACTATTTTTCCCTTATTATGCCCTGCATATACCTCCTCAATCATTTATTTTGTAAGCCAAAAATCTTACCTCAAAACTGTGATAATGTCTGTCATTAGGCAACATGGATATCAGGCAACCATAGGAGGCCTTTAGAGACGTTAAACGCTTCACATGTCTGGTTCAGACCACCTAGAATGACTTGGTTAACCGTCTTAATCATTTAATTCTTCAGAATGTAGAACATTTTAAACCAATTAAACAAGCTAATTATGTTGTCCCGCTTCTTTTTGCTTATATTTAAGTTCAAATAGGCACTTGTTTTCAGGCTTATTTTTCCTTTGTATATCTTCTCTTCCAGGTGTCTGCCCATATTGCGGAAAATTCTCCTGATTCTTCTTCCTTTTCTGCTGCTCCTCGGTAGGTTCAGCCTCACACGTGCCGCTGATAAAAGCTCTCCCTTTGATATTTGTGAGAGTCCGTCCTGACTTGTTCTCTTTTATGTAGCTCTTTGGTACTGGGGTCTTTCCAGCTTCTGGGCCATTTTGCCTGTAGCAAACAAGATGACGAGAACGACTGACTCTTCGCTTAGCTTCACTTCAGCGCAGACACCCATGGATAAAGCCAGCGAGAGTCAACCTGGCAGTGGGCCGTCATACACACACTATGAGGTACATAAATATCACATGTTTATTTTCCCTTCTAGGGCTGGAAAATATGGCAAAAAGAGTTTCATGATTATTTACGTATTTGGTTTGTTTTTTTTTGTTTTTTTTTGTGGATTTTTACCCTGTTCTTCCCCCCTCAGTTTAGTTGTGGCCAGTTCCACTCTCTAGCTAGCTAAGATATCAAATCATGCTACCAAGTTGGGAAGGTGAAGGCTAACACGAGCTTCCTCCGCGTCACGTGAAGCACTACCACATTTTTTTGAACTGCTACTAACGCAACATTATTTGACAGCTCAGCACACTTTGAGAACACTAACTTTTTAACTGTTGTACTTACTATTGTAAGTTCAAATAAAGTAAAAAAAAAATGATGTTTAAAAAATGTTTAATTACTGAACTCTTGAAGATGGGGCCTGTTTCAGTACCTCTTTTAATATGCTTTCATCAGCTTGGACTTGCCATTTCCCCCTCTAATAAACTTCCTACAACTGAAGTTTATCAGATGACTGCTCACAGGTGTGAAGCATCAAGTGTAAATGTCAACTTCAGCAGCAGAACCTACCCAGAAATTATTGCAACCTGATGCAATATCTTTTTCAAACCTAAAATATTACAGATGTAACCGTTCAAAGCCATAGCAATAAAAATACTTTGTATTGTACTAATGTACTATGTACTAATCTTTTATGCACTATATGGCCGAAAGTATGTGGACTCCTGTTTGTGAAGTGTTTCAGCCACACCCATTGCTAACAGAGGGAGAAACTCACCATCCTCTCTTTATTTAGCATTTTGCATGCTCTGCATCATTCTACCAAGTTAAACAGAACCAGTCACTCTCTTGGACTGCCAGGACCATCTGAATTCAAACTTGTGATCTCCCAACTGTAAGCTAAACTTTAGATTAGCTGTGCTCTGTGGGAGCTCTGTTTAACTCTCTATTTAATTAAACATGCATTTTGTCAGTGTTTTTGATTTAAAAGATACAATGCACTCAACTGTATAATGATGCAATTTATCATGATAATAATAACATTTCATCATATCGCCCACCTCTGCCCTGTAGAAATTTTAACCAGCATAGAAAGTAAAACTGCCTCTCTGCTCTCAGCAGGACATAACTTTGGCAGCTGCAGCATACTCAGAGAGATTGACCCAAATAGAGCAGAGTCTGGCGCAGCTGTGGGAGCGGGTGGTGGCATCTGGCAGCAGGCAGGAGCAGCGACATGAGGAGGTGCTCAGCCTCTACAGCTCTTTAAGAGACCAGCTGCACACACACACAGACAGAGAGAGCGTGGGCCAGTGGGTAAGTACACTAATGGAGCAGAGAGTCAGCCTGCTGAGAACACAGATGGAGAAGGAGAAGCAGCAGTCGCAGCAGGTGAGGGGCACAGAAAGTGATGTGGTATTCAAGACAGTAAAGCTGGAGGGAAGTTGAAGAATGTGACTGATGCAGAGCTCTTTTTTTCCCCCTCTGATTTTGTTTCCCTCCAGCATCAGGAGGAGTTTGAACAAGAGAGTCAAACTCAGAAGTCCCGGTTAGCTGAGGTTGAGACTCTTCTTAAGAACTTAGCACTTAAAACAGAGGTACTGCAATGCACTTGTATTTGCCTTACTGTTATTTATGCACCTTCCAGTGTGTACACTAGGCATGGGCATTTTAGCTATTTTCGCTATTTAAATATTTTTAGATGAGTTCCATTTGAATTTTTGTTGTAAGAAAATATTTTATTATAAATAATGATCAAAAACCTCCTGAAAAATACAGAAGGTGTAATATTTATTGCATTTAGATGCACCAATATGGAATTTCTTGGCCAATACAATAACTGAGAATTAACATCTTTTGTGGCCAATACCAATATCATAAACTGATATTCTGAATTAAGTATTTTAATTTAATTCATTTTTTAATGTACTACATTGTTATAAGTTGGTTTATTTATTTTCTTATTTATTTATTTTCTTATTTGCAACAGTGGATCCTCAAAAATAAGAATTCTTAAAAATAAAAAAGACACACAGAATTAACTAACTAAAGTAATTAAAAATGTTCAAGATCATCATTACCCAACAATAAACCAGATACTAGGCTATACAAATCTTCTGTATGCAGCTAAAGGCTGCATGCTAAGGGAACCTTCTATAGTAGACTGAAAATAAGTGAGAAAAAATTACGGGGAAGGGGAATAACCCCCCACAAGGTAATTTGTTTGGCTAAGTGTGGAGAAACAGGCTAATAGGTTTAGCTGATTGGTATAGTATATTAATTGTCCTTACAAATAACTGTATGGGTCAGTACCTCTGACTGTTATACTGAACTGTTTGAAAATGTGCATATTTGATTAACCTCACCAATCCCTGCATATGCGTACCTGGTTCTAACTATGTCTTGTTTTAATATGACACAATTTATTTTCTGAATTTGAAGGAGTTACAGAGAAGACAAGATTCTGAGACGACATCCTCTGTCAGGTCAGTCAATCAGTACAGTTTAAAAGTTACCGTGTGTGGGTTTTGCATCTGTAGTAAATGTTAATGGTCCAGGAAAGCTTCTGTTCACCACCTGAACATGTTTCTCCTCAGTGGGGAAGTGGATGATGCCTCCCATTTGACTCTACTAGCAGAAGTGCGCAGGCTGGAGGAGGCATTGGAAAGCATCAGGACTGACCTGCAGGGCATGATGGGCTGTAAGGGCAGATGTGAACAGCTGGACTCCCTCCATGACACAGTGAGTAAAATACTTGTTGCTATTAAAACCATCTGCTTGCTTTACCATATAGTTTATTGTTAACTTTGTTTTAGTATTTAACTTTGTGAATTATCACTTACTGTTTCTGTGCGGCCTGGCAGCAGTGATTGACAACACAAGTTTTTCTTTACACTACTCTTGAAACTGAAGTTTAGAATTACTTGTCATTATAATAATATTTTTTTCAGATAATCACTGAAATATCGACTGCTTTAGATATTAGGTTTTCAGGGTGTTTAACATAATTGTTAATCTTATTCATCTGTTTGTCATTTTCATGCAGCTGCCGTATTAGCTGTTCTGCTGCGCCTCAGTGAGAGCAATGGTGGAGAGTTACTGAACTACAGTACTGAAAAAAACTATGTTCAAAAACAAAAAGTAATTGGTGTTGACTCATAGGTGGTTCCAGTTAATTAATGATTTAGAGTCATTATCATCATGGAGGTGCAAACACTGTTATACTGATTTAAAAATACTTTTATAGGACTCCTCATGCTACACTCATCTAACTTTTTACATCTCTATGGATACGAACATTTGATAAAAACCTTAATGTAGTCTTTACAGTCTCATTTGTTGTATTTAGTACACAGTACATCCCAAAGCTCTGTGAAAGCCTGGATATTATTAAATGTAGCTACAGATGCTGCTGCTTTAGTGCTGGATGGACTAAAGCAGTACGGACTTAAAAGAGAAGAAAAAAAACTGTATGTGAGCTGACGAAAGAATGTGAAATTAGCTATGAATAAAATATTAGTGTGGTTACCTTAGTTATCCAATGTTAGGTAGATCTGAATTGTGTGGACCAACTGTAGGATTACGTATGGCGATTGTGTTGAGTAGTTTGATCAGTTTAGACAGCTTTTGCACAGTTAATGTTAGTGAGATTATTTATATCACTGTAATGAAACATTCTCATGTCAGTTGGCTTCTACAGCAAAACAGTAAACATTTCACTTCTGTTTTCTGACAACTGTTTACCCATTAATTTGTAAAAAACGCAGAATGCATTTTGATTCTCATAGTCAATAAAAGCGGGGCTGTCATGCAGTGAGGTCACATGATTTTTCATTTACTATGGAATTACTAGATTCTGTAGATTCTGTTCATCAGTCTGGATTAGGGATGTGCTCAGGTATTGGAGTACTCAGATAACCATTCTAGGTGCCAGTGTTCAAATATTGAAAGCACTGTATTTTCTGTATTTATGTATGCCCATGTTAATGTTGCATCATGTAAAGAAAATATACATGCCAACAGTTCACTCAAAAAGCTGTGTAGTTTTACAGGCTGTAAAACATGACAGTTTTCTTGTGTCCAAATAAAGTGTGTATATTATGTTATACTTTGCTACTATGGGACACACATGCCTTAACATGAGTGTTAGGATAGGTACTCTAGCTGGCTGAAGCTAGAACTAAAACAATGGGAAGATATTTCTGTTTTTTTATTTTTTACAGCCTGAAGTTGTTTGACATCTTTGAAATTTGAGTACTAGCATCATATTATAATTATTTTATACTTGAGTCTGCAACAGAATGGGTTTTGTATAATTGAAAATGGGCATTCCGAGAGTATTTGTCTTTTTTTGTTACATTGGTCAAAGTTTGGTCAGAGTTTGGTGCTGGTGTCTGTTAGATTGCTTTTTCTGCCTAGAGCTACTGAAGGGCTTTCAGGACTGGTGGAAAGATCATTTCTGCTGTTTTTTTCCGGTGCAGGTGTCTGAGCAGGTGAGGCAAGAGCTGCGGTCACTGCTGTATGGCCGCGAGCAGCCAGAGGGAGCAGAGCTGCCAGATTCTGTGCTGCAGTGGCTGTCTACTTGGTTTGTGAGCAGCTCAGACCTACAGGCCTCACTCATTTCCCTGGAGAGGAGCATTCTGCGTAATGTGTCCCTTCAGCTGGAGCAGATGCAACAGAAGCCCTGTGCAGAGACGGTCACTTGGGCTGTCCGAAAAACCACTGACGAAGCAGGTTTATCTGAAGAGGTGAAGAAAGTAAAGACACTCCTATTCGATTGTCTCCTGATAACTATTCAGCACTCACTAATTTGTATTTTTTTTCTTGCCAGAATGTGCAGCTTATTGTGCAGAATGCCTTGAAGCTCTATTCCCAGGACCGCATTGGCCTTGTGGATTATGCTCTGGAATCTGGAGGTACAGTATGGAAATTGTTTACAAGAGGCACATATAGGATTGCTTGAAAGCATCCCTGTCTGGGCAAAGTATATTTGATGATTTTGGTGAACTATGGTTGTGATGGTCTTTCATTGATGTCCATCATGGTTGACTCATGTTTTTAGATGTGTATGAAATCAGTGCATTTCTAGCCATGCGTTCATTTGGTAAGGGCTTGTGGATAAATTGTGGAAATTTGTAATGTTCTGGAAAAAACTGTAGCAGAAATGTGTTTTGACCATCAAAACAAGCCACAGCACGAAAAGCAGGAACCGTATTCGTTTTCATGCCATTACATTCTACTCGTTCTCTTCAAGCCAAAGCTGTAACAGACTGCCTTATGTTAAGGGGAACCTATTATGCTCATATTCGGTGTTCATAATTTTATTTTTGGAGTCTACTAGAATAGATTTACATGCTGGCCGGTAGGCGGGAAATATGGATTGTGTTATGAGAAAAGTAGGAGGTTTCTGTGGGAGAGAGTTACGCCCGGTACTTTGAGCTTTGTAACTTTGCAGACAGTTGACATGCATGCAGAGCTATATAATGCGCTAAAGAAAAGGGAGAACATGGAGAAGCATAATGGGTCCCCTTCATAGGGCCCATATAGTGAAAACCTCACTTTTTTGATACAAAGGAGTTTGAAGTAATATGTAAACATTGGCAAAGTTTCAAAACATAATCTGCACTACCTAATATGTATGTTCCATATATAGAAAATATGCTGCAAAAACACCCCATTTTGAATATGTGATGTCACAAGAAACAATTTGTTTACGTCTGTCCACCTCTTCAGCCTACAGCAGTTTAGCTCTGCCCATTCATATTGAACTTTTAGGAAGTGTTTTTTGCAGAGTGCTTTTTGAAGGAGGCACAATACAGGATAGCCAGTCAGAACAGAGCTCATTGGTCTTACATCACTCATAAATGCACAGTAACAAACAGCCTGTTTAATTGTAAGGGATATAGAGAAGATAAAAAATAGGAATGTAAAAATGATTTGACCATTTTTGGTTCATAAAACCACACAAATGTTTTAAGTGGACAGTGAATAATGGGCTCCTTAGAGGAGAAATTCACAGATTTTCCAAAATATTAAAACAAATTCAATGTGTTGATATGAAATGGTTCACTGACATAAAATTTGCACACCTTCCTTCTCTGCTTCCTGTGGGCGTGGCTCCTGTTCCTGTTTTACCTCATCTTCATCTTCAGCTTAATTAAATGTATGTTCCCACGCGTTAACTAACATAACTGAAATGACAACTCTGCTTTTCAGTGTCTGCAGTCGACTCGTTTGACTGGTTTATTTTTGCTGAAATGCTCCCATACTTTTCAGAGTTTCGGTCTCGCTCTTTTGCCCCACCTTCCGCACGCTCTCTCCGCCGCGCCATCATACAATATGTTCTTCATTAGTACAAAATGCAGTCATGCCACACAATGGAAGCGATACCGGCCTCACTTCCTTTAATGCATTGCAGTTACAAATTAATGACGCGTCAACACTGAAATTCTAAATCGACAAATTTTTATAATCCACGTTTGTCGATTATGTCGACTAATCGTTGCAGCACTAGGTGATAGGAACCAGAAGTTAGAATGTCTACAACACAAATTTATACATTTTATTTGCTATCAAAATGACCTGTGAATCACGTCTTCTGCGTTTTTATGTGTTGGTAATGATAAAATAGTAGTAAATCCACTAAAAGTTTTCTTTGGAGACTGTTTTGCCTCACAGCACCGTCCATGTACCTTTCTGCAATGAACATTTTTTTAAAAAATAGAATTTAGTTTAAAAGCTTATCTCACACTGTTGTAAACCAATGTGTCAGGCATCAAGTAACATATTTCTAATTGTTTCATGTAAGAACTTGAGTGAGGTAGCTTTTAAGATGCATGGATGGTTTAATGGCCATCCCAGTCCAGGGGATCAACACATTGTGCATGTTTGTGTTGCATTTGTGTTCAACTAATTGGCAAAGTCATCATGTGCTGGGTCAGGGCTGAAGGGAACACATCTAAATGTGCAGTTCATAGGAGTCCCCATGACTAGGACTGGGAACCCCTGCGTTAAAAGCCTCAGACAACTGGTCTGCATCACTGCTGCTGTAAACAATTCTGAATCAGTCACTTTCTCTAGAATGGCACGTTCACATAAAATCACTCTGAATGACTTTGTTTACTGTGATGGTTTACTTATCCAGAAATTTTTAAAAATGAATGGAATTCCCCTTTAATCAATTCTCTGCATATTCTATATCTGTAAAAATTAGGGAACCAAGACAATAAATGTGTTCATGAAATTCGTAATAGAAACGTGTTGTGGTTTTTTTTTTTTATTATTATTATTATTATTGACACTTTTTTTGACATTATGTAAAGCCTTTTATCACATTGTCAATTTGCTGAAAATTAGGTACCTAAAGGCCATTTGCATACACTTTTTCATTTCATTGCTTGCAAATTGCATATGAAGTCAGTGAAAACTTTATGTACATGACGGTCTTCAGTTTGTAGTAACCTGTGCTTACTCATTCTTTTATCGCTGTCTGTAGGTGGCAGTGTCCTGAGCACACGTTGTTCAGAGACATATGAGACCAAGACTGCACTGATGAGTCTGTTTGGTCTGCCGCTCTGGTACTTCTCCCAGTCTCCTCGGGCAGTCATACAGGTATGCTTAATTTTAAATAAGGTTGCTGGAGACGTGCAAAAATGTCCATACAACCTGTCATAACATCCTTTTCTCTTTCTCTCATCAGCCGGACGTACATCCTGGTAACTGTTGGGCATTTAGAGGTTCTCATGGATATTTGGTGATCCGTCTGTCCATGAAAATCATCCCTACAGCCTTTTCTCTGGAGCACATCCCCAAAACCCTCTCTCCTACTGGCAACATCAGCAGTGCTCCACGCAACTTCACCGTCTATGTAAGACATGCTATTGTACATGGATTGGAAATTCCATCATGGCTTGTTTACAGCTGCGTTGTTGCTGTAACTAAGGGTTGGTCATTTGTTTTTGTTGAACGGTCTGAGCTGTAAAAATAAATAAATAAATACATAAAAATAATTAATATAATAATAATAAGAAGAAGAAGAAGAAGAAAACACATCTGACATTTTAAAATGTGACTGATTTTCTCTCTCTACTGTGTAAATAAAGGGTCTGGATGATGAACAGCAGGAGGAGGGACAGGTTCTCGGGCGATACGTCTACCAGGAGGACGGAGAACCTCTTCAAACCTACCCAGTCAAGGTGAGGGTGATTTTGGGGGCTTGTATAGTTTGAGTCAGATGAAAGCGTGGTTATGCCTCTGTAATGTGTTTGAGAGATTATTTACGCATCATTTCTGTGTCTAATGTACAGATAATGTTCAGAAAAGATTTAGCCACATTCTACATACACCTGGACACGCATGTATTTGTTAGATAGAAATCTGTTTTGCATCAGTGCTGCTTTTTCCTGCGTGACATGCAAATTCACATCATCTAAGAAGAGCCATGCCAGCAGTTTTATTCCATGCAGTTGTACCTTGTATAAGAATGGAAGGGGATGGCTGATGTGTTTTGGTTGAATGTACACTTGACTTTCATGATCAGATGATTAGAATGAAACAAACCTTTACATTTTTGTTACTATATTTAAGACTAATATATGTTACAGATCTATCTCCTGATTGGCCGGCCTGTAGTGTGTCTCATTTGAAAATCAGTTCAGCCATATGACTTCAGTGTGGCTGTGCAGGACTGAATAGGCAGATGTAAATAAATGTGTTGATTTTTCATGACATCACAAAAACAGGGAATTTAAAACAGGCTATATTTTGCATCTTAGTTTCCATATATGGACTCTATGGACTGAGCGGTACATTTTGAAATTTTTATCTATGTCTACACGCTACGACAGGCTCTTTTATGGGGCTACGTCAGGCTCTTCTTTTAAGAAAACATTTTTCATGACATGACGGTGCATCTGGTCTGCTCTTGACCCCCTTGAGTTTTCACAAAGACTCCTCCTACATTTACATTTTTACATTTACATCATTTAGCAGACGCTCTTATCCAGAGCGACTTACAAAAAGTGCTTTGTCTATCCAGAGAAAGAATCTTCGCTAGCTACCGATAGGTTAGAGAGAAAGTCAGTCCTAAGCTCAGATACTGGTAGAATCAGAAGGTCATTGACACCTAGTGAAAAAGGGACAGAGTTAAACACAGAACAGTGCAATACGATAAAATACATAAGTGCTGTACAATACATTACAATCAATACTTAATTTAGTGCTCATTTAAGTGCTGAATAAACAGGTGTGTCTTCAGTCTGCGTTTGAAGACAGCGAGAGACTCTGCTGTACGGACAGCCAGTGGGAGTTCGTTCCACCACCTGGGTGCCAGCACAGAGAACAGTCTAGTTGCTTGCCTTCCACGCGCCTTGAAGGATGGCGGGTCAAGCCGAGCTGTACTCGAAGCTCGAAGGGCTCGTGGTACAGTTCGAGATTTGACCATTGCCATCAAGTAGGGAGGGGCTGGTCCATTTTTGGCCTTGTAGGCAAGCATAAGTGTTTTAAATCTGATGCGTGCAGCTACAGGAAGCCAGTGAAGGGAGCGCAGCAGTGGGGTGACGTGGCTGAACTTTGGGAGATTGAAGATGAGTCTTGCTGCTGCATTCTGGATGAGTTGCAGAGGCCTGATGGCCTGCATTGGAAGACCAGCCAAGAGCGAGTTGCAGTAGTCAAGCCTTGAGATGACAAAAGACTGCACTAGCACCTGAGTGGCCTCTCTCGAGAGAAAGGGTCGGATCCTCCGGATGTTGAACAGCAGAAATCTGCATGACCGAGTTAGGTTCACAATGTGAGTCGAGAACGATAACTGGCCATCCAAAACCACACCAAGACTTCTTGCCTCTGCTGACGGGACAATCAGAGAGTTCTCGAATGAGATGGCAAGATCTTGATGAGGACCTGTAGTTGCAGGGATGAACAGTAGCTCAGTCTTGCTAGGATTGAGCTTCAGGTGGTGAGCTGCCATCCATGAAGAGATGTCAGACAGACATGCCGAGATCCGACTGGAAACCTGTGTGTCCGAGGGTGAGAAAGAAAGCATTAGTTGAGTGTCATCAGCATAACAGTGATAAGAGAAGCCATGAGATGATATTACATTGCCAAGAGAGCTAGTGTAAAGAGAAAAGAGAAGAGGACCTAGCACCGAGCCTTGTGGGACACCAGTGGACAGCCTGCATGGAGAGGATATGGACCCTCTCCATGTTACCTGATAAGAGCGATCCTCCAGATAGGACTTGAACCACTTCCACGCAGAGCCAGTGATTCCAAGGTTGGTGAGGACATCCAGAAGGATTGTGTGGTTGACTGTGTCAAAAGCTGCTGAGAGGTCAAGAAGAATCAGGACAGATGACATACTGGCTGATCTTGCTGACTGGAGCTTCTCTGTCACTGCTATAAGAGCAGTTTCTGTTGAGTGCGCTGGTTTGAAGCCAGACTGGTTGGGGTCCTGGAGCTGGTTCTGCGTGAGAAAGAGAGACAGTTGATTATAGACTGCACGTTCAAGAATTTTTGAAAGGAAAGAAAGGAGTGATACCGGTCTGTAGTTGTTGACATCAGAGCTGTCAAGCGAGGGCTTCTTCAGGATGGGAAGTACTCTTGCAGTCTTCAAAGTTGATGGTACTTCACCTGATGACAAGGACTTGTTAATGAGAAAAGTGATGAAGGGCAGTAGATCCTTGGAGATTGACTGGAACAATGCAGATGGAATGGGATCCAGTGGGCAGGTGGTTGGGTTACTGGATTTGATCAGTTGAAGGACAGCGTCTGTGGAAAGAGAAGAAAAACAGTTTAAGGGATTGAGAACGAGAGAAGGAGGTCTAGTGAAAGGAGTGGGGACAGAGGGAAAAGACTGGCGGATTCTATCAACCTTCTCCTCAAAGAAGGTGACAAAATCCTCAGGAGTGAGAGAAGAGGGTGGAGGGGGAGGAGGAGGGTTGAGGAGAGAGGAGAAAATGCTGAAAAGCTTGCGTGGATCAGATGCTGATGCTTCCAGTTTCCCTCTGTAGAAGGATGACTTTGCAGCAGTAACTTCGAGTGAGAACTTGGAAAGTAGAGATTGGTAGGAGTGAAGATCCGAGTCGAGCTGGGATTTCCGCCACCTTCTCTCAGCCTTCCTTAGTTCTTGCCGGTTGCTGCGCAGGACACCTGTCAGCCAGGGGGCAGGTGGGGAAGATCTTGCTGGCCTGGAGGAGAGAGGACACAGAAAATTAATTGCAGATGAGAGTGAAGAAAGGAAAGCATCTGTAGCTGTGTCCAGTGAGAAAGAAGAAAATGAATCAGGATGGGGAAGAGTGGTCAGGATAGTTGAGACGAAAGAGGAGGGAGGAGTGGAGTGCAGGTTGCGTCGAGAGGAGCGTGAAGGAGTGGAATGGACAGGAGCAGCAGGTAGGAGAAGTGAGAAAGATAGGAAGTGGTGATCAGAGCAGTGAAGGGGAGTTACTGTGACATCCAGCATGGAGGTAGGTCTGGTGAAAATCAGGTCCAAAGTGTTGCCTGCTCTGTGCGTCGGAGAAGTCTGGTTGAGGGAGAGGTCGAAGGATGACAGCAGTGGTAACAGGCCGGATGACTGCAGTTTGTCCGATGGCAGGTTGAAGTCACCCAAGAGTATGAGTGGGGTTCCGTCGATGGGGAAGAGACTCAGAAGAGTGTCTAACTCATCAACGAAGTAGCCTAGAGGAGAAGGAGGACGATAAAGGACAATGATGTGGAGTTTAGTGGGGAAGGATACAGTGACAGCATGGTACTCAAAGGAGGAAATTGAAAGATGAGAAAAAGCAAGTGGAGTGAAACGCCACTTTCTGGATAAAAGCAAACCTGTGCCACCACCCCTGCCAGACTGTCTCGGAGAATGGGAGAAGTGAAAAGCAGAGGACAGGGCTGCTGGAGTTGCTGAATTCATGGGAGTGATCCAGGTCTCTGTCAACGCCAGGAAGTGCTAGAGATCTACTTTACTAAAGAATTTTGTTCCAACTTGCATCTGACATGTTGCCTCCTCCTAACCACTAATGCATCTGATCCTGTCAGTCAAGAACTTCTGAAGAAGTTATTTAGCTAAAGCAGGTATGGCAGCTTGGAACTAGACTCTACAGGAAAGTGGATCTCCAGGACTAGCATTTGGTGACAGTTCATTTCAAGCAAGTAAAGAAAATTTCACAAATTATGTAAATAATGCTGTATTTCCATCAGCTCTGTGCAACATATAAACTACGTTCAATTTATATTATTTGTCGGAAAAATGTATTTCTTTGTCAAATTATCATATTTTATTGAACTGATACCTCAAGTGAGCTTATAAACCCTTATGTGAGTGTGTTTGGAGGATTTTAATGATCGTGTTTCAGTATGTCAAAATTTGTGTAAAAATATGTGGTTGGAAACCTAGCTGCTAAGGTATGATTTTCTTGAAACTTTAGTCCAACAATACATGATTCCACTTTCCAGACAAACTGGTTTTGTGTACTGTTCAGTCTCTGTTCTGTATGGTTTGTAATATTTTTATTTCCTTTTTAGGAAAACAGCACAAACACCTACCAGATCATCGAGCTCAGAGTGCTGAGTAACTGGGGTCACCCAGAGTACACATGCCTCTATCGTTTCCGAGTGCATGGCAAACCGGAACACTAGTGATCACACCCTGAGCTGGATCAAGACTTCACTTCAACACTGGAGTTCCACAGAGGAGACACTATGCCATCCATCTATCCATCTGTTCCAAACTTGGGGCAGAATAAACATGACTGCTTGCTAAACCTTTTTTCTATCTGCACTTTGTACTCCTTTGTCCCTCAAACAAAACAGTACATCTCTATCTTGAACTATGGTTATGCTCCTCTTCATTCTGCCGACGCGAGGCCCCTGGTGGCCAAACTCAGACTGGTCTGAATTGCTCTCAAAAATACCCAGTAAGTCAAACCTAAATAAAATGAACTATAATGTATTTTACACCTTGTAAATGTTGTTAATAGTTTGTCTGCTTTAAGCATGGCTATTAATTTGCCTTCTGCCCTATTTCTGCATAGTGTAGTGAGTTTGAAGTGCTCAGCAAAGCAAGGCTGTTTAATCACTATTTATTTTTTATGTATTTGAGTTGAAGAAAACTTTGTATTGTGTATTTTTGTAAATACTTTTCAGATTATTTTGTAATTACCAAGGGACCACAGGTTGGCTTTTGCAATGAAGCTATATTTTGGTTGTGTGGAATGTTCAAATAAAGAGTAATTTTTTAGAAGATTTGTCTGAATTGGATCAATTGAGATGGTAGTATTTTGTCTGCATAGGAAAGGAAAAGGTCAGAAGCTGTCATCTAATGACATTTAAACATGCAGCTACTGTTTTGACTACCTCTTAGGAAGGCCATTTTCCCATAGAGCAGTGGTTCCCAACCTATGACAGTATATATAAACTGGACTCAGTCATCCTGCTGTTTTCAGTGGGGACCAGCTGAGGTCATTCGTTTCACTTCTTGATTGGCTTCTTATACAGTGGACAGCGGGAACGTGTGAGGCTGCGCAGACACCTTGATGACAAATCTCCAGCGTACTGTTCAAGTTGCTGTATTGTTCATAGAAGCTGCCAAGTGAAAATTGTGATTGTGTTAAAGGGAGCGTAAATCACCCTATCCGCTACATAATAAATTTTAGTTACTACCTCTTTTATTATTAGTTATTTGTGTTCAATACATTGTAGAATTAGAGAAACGTAGCAAGAGGAAGCCAAAGTGAAAAAAGACTCAACTAAAAATGTAGGTAATGCATTATAAAATGAAGAATACTAGTAACAGTAAGACATGCCTTTATTTTTGGACTAAAGACAGCTTGAAATGAATGGAAGTGAACAGAGAGCTGCTCTCAAATGGTCCTCTTGAGCCAGGGCAGCTTCTTTCTGGTGGCACATGCTGGAAGGCAAAAGCTGGAGACCTGTTCCCAACACTGGTTCTAGTGTACACCCTGGCCTGCACATTTGCCCTGCTCCTTTAAAAATAAATAAATAAAAAACTGATGCAACTATGTAGTTAACAAAATCACAACTTTTAATTAACAATATTTTGTTCAAAAGCTTTTAGGGGTATGATGATACACATTTTCAGGCTTATGAATTACAAGGTCAAGATTTAAGTTTGATTTGATTTTCAATTTTTTATGAATTGCAAGTAGCAATTGAAAGTACCAGGTCCTTGTCCTATGCTGTTAGGAATAAGAATCAAAATGAATGCCCCTTGCATGAGCTGACTCTCCTGTTTGCAACATTTTCAACCTTTGATTACTCCTTCTGGGAGGAACATGACCAACCCAAATGTGCAACTGAACCAATAAATGTGAAGCACTGCGGGTTCACAGCTCCACGTGTCCATGTCTGATTCAAGTATTACCATGTCAAGAATTCACTTCACCTGCCTTCACAGTGGTGGTGATGGGAACCAGAGAGCTGAAGCGTTCAGTGTCATTACGAACTATCTCACACAATTGTTGCATGAACAGGGTTATGAATATGCTGTGTGATGTCGTGGTCACATTTTTGATTTTGGTCCTTGTTTTCTGTCAGCCTTTTCTTGAGCAGGATGAGGAGCCTCCCAAGATACTTTTCGTCAGACTTTCGTTAGTTCCAAACAAATTCACACAAAAGCTTGACTTGCAGCATTTGCTCAGGTGACAACTTTTAAGCATTTAACTATAGGTCTATAGAACTAAATGTCTTAAGTTTATGAAATGCATACAATCAGGTTTTTTGACTTATCAAAAGAAAATGTCTTTCTTAAGCAGCTTTTTTTGGAGAAATAAAGCATATCTCAGTACTGTATTAAGGAACGATGGCTGATTTCTGTACTGTTTCTACTAATCCCCCCCTAAAAACAAAAGAGTTTTATTGTTCAGTTCTGGAAGCAAATGAGAAAAGCCTGAGGTCTCCTTCTGCACTGACAGATCACTGGCAGATGTACGGTATACATCTGTACAAGAAACTGGTGCAATCTTACTTTTCTAATGTAAGTATTATTCAGCCAAGACTTGGATGAGATGAGTCAGCTACAATGTTTTAGATGTAGCAGAAAAAAATATTTAGATCAGAGAGAAAATCCAACGGTTGTTTCTCTGGAGCCTTACAAGGAGTCTGTCTTACTGGTTTCAAACAGAGGGGCATTCTGGCCTAAAGCTCGTGTTTAATGTGCTACATGTCGTGTTATGTGGTATTCTGTATAGCATCATATCCATCGGCCTCACTGGCTTGACAGAATTCACAATTTTATATTGTTTTCATGGTTTCATTCATCAACGTTCTCTCTATTTAATACCCAGCATGCATTATGAAAAATCTAACGGGGACCAGAGAATTTCTAATGAGCAGACCTGCCACTCAGTGTCTGGGTTGGGCAGCACTCAGTGTCGTGGGTTCTCAGCAGCATGCGTGTTGAGGGACCAGGTGAGGTTCTCTGTGATATGGACACCGAGGAACTTGGTGCTCCTGACGATTTCTACAGCAGAGCCAGTGATGTTCAGTGTGGGGTGGTCACCTTGCACTCTTCAGAAGTCAACAACCATGCTCCTTAGTTTTGTCTACATTCAGAGACAGGTTGTTGGTTCCACACCAGTCCGTTAGCCGCTGCACCTCCTCTCTGATCAGACCCACCACAGTCGTGTCATCAGCAAACTTGATGATGTGGTTTGAGCTGTACTTTGCAGTACAGTCGTGAGTCAGTAGAGTGAACAGCAGTGGACTAAGCACACAGCCCTAAGGGCCGCCGGTGATCAGTATGGTCGTGCTGGAGATGTTGTTACCTATCCTGACTAACTGAGGTCTCTCAGTCAGGAAATCCAGGACCCAGTTACAGAGGCAGGTGTTCAGGCCCAGTGGGCTCAGTTTTCCAATCAGCTGCTGAGGGATGATGGTGTTGAATGCTGAACTGAAGTCTATGAACAGCATTCTGACGTAGTTGTCTTTATTGTCCAGATGGGTGAGAGCCAGGTGGAGTGTGGTGGAGATGGCATCGTCTGCTGAGCGTTTGGTGCGTTATACAAATTGCAGTGGGTCCAGTGAAGGAGGGAGCTGGTCTTTAATGTGCCTTATGACAAGCCTCTCGAAGCACTTCATGATGATGGGAGTGAGTGCAAAGGGACGGTAGTCATTGAGGCAGGACACTGGAGACTTCTTCAGCACAGGGATGAAGATGGTGGACTTGAAGCACATTGGAACGACTGCAGTGCTCAGAGAGATGTTGAATATGTCCGTGAGAACATCAGCCAGCTGTTCAGTGCATTCTCTGAGCACTCTGCCCGGTATGCTGTCGGATTCTGGTGCTTTTCGTGGGTTGACTCTATGTAGAGTTCTCTGCACATCAGCAGTGGACAGACACAGTACCTGTTAATTTGGTTTTCCTCGCCGTCGTACCGTTCTGTGCTTCAAACCGAGCATAAAAGTTATTAAGCGCATCTGGAAGGGAGGCATCAATGTCACAAGCAGGTGGAGGTGTCTTGTAGTTGGTGATGGCCTGGATGCCCTGCCATATGCGCCGTGTGTCAGCAGTGTTTTGAAAATGTTCATGGATATTTTCTCTGAGTAGGCACGCTTAGGTTCTTTGCTGACTTGAAAGCCTTGTCGTGGGTTCTCAGCAGCATGCGCACCTCTGCAGTCATCCATGGTTTCTGGTTGGGGTGAGTTGTGACGAGTTTGGAGACCGTAACATCATCAATGCACTTGCTGATTCTGTATACTCCTCCAGGTTGATGGAGTCACCGGAAGTTTCTGCTTCTCTAAACATCTCCCAGTCAGTGTGCTCAAAACAGTCCTGAAGAGCAGAGATAGCTCCTGGTGGCCAGGTTCTCACTTGCTTCTGGTCTGGTTTGGCACGTCTGATGGGTCGTCTGTAAGCTGGAGTGAGCATCACAGAGATGTGGTCTGAGTAGCCGTAGTGGGCTAAAAGGAGCTAAATGGCTAAAACAAAAAGTTAAAATAGTTTCCAATCACTGGTCCAGAACTTTCCTTTAATTTTAGAAAGTAGAAGGATGTATTTTACTTTTTTTTAAAAAGCAAAGAAAACCTATCTAAATATTTCCTATTTTCTACAGCAAACAGGTTTTGGGCAGCAGGACGCTAGCGTTACTGTTACTGAATGCTGATTGGTTGGCAAGTTGTGCCCACAGACATCATGGACATATGAGGCGTCGTTTTAAACTAATATAACTCAAATTTAAAAGCTCTTAAAAATATAACAGCTGTGTTAAAATGTTTTACGCTATTCATCCATCATCTAAACCGCTTATCCTTCTGGGTCGCGGTGGGGTGCTGGAGCCTATCCCAGCTGTCATCGGGCGGAAGGCAGGATACACCCTGGACAGGTCGCCAGTCCATCGCAGGGCAGACAAACAGACATATACATCCACACACACACTCACACCTAGGGGCAATTTAGCATGTCCAATTGGCCTGACTGCATGTTTTTGGACTGTGGGAGGAAACCGGAGTACCCGGAGGAAAACCACGCAGACGTGGGGAGAACATGCAAACTCCACAAAGAAACGGCCGGGAATCGAACCCAGGCCCTTCTTGCTGTGAGGTGACAGCGCTACCCACTGCACCACTGCGCCGCCCTTTACGCTATTCAGTGTTCAGGAAATTAATGTATTATTTTACATTTAAATGTTTAAGCATTTATAAACTATGATTTTGTTCAAATGTTCCATCTTAACCCATTCATTTTAGACTTAATCAGGAGTGCCCTCTTGCATTTAAGAAACCCGGAAGACATTACAGAGTGGTGATTCTCCTCTCTACAACTTCTCTGACTTGGTCTCCTTCGTTATATCATCTCTGGCTCTATTCACCCCCATTCATCAAGGATTTGCTCACAGGTGCCCTATAGTGTTTCACAATGATGTTTTTGGAATAATGGGAGAAATAGAAAACCAGGTTTCCCTTAAACTGCCTCTGGGCAATCTCTGTGGTGTCAACCACACTGGTCACTGTTCACAGTGTTGGTGACAGGAATCGGCTGTCCAAAGTGTTTGAAGCACCCAAAGTCAAAGTCAAGTCAAAGTTTATTTACATAGCACTTTTTACAACAGGTGTTGTCACAAAGCAGCTTTACAGAAAAATCCGGGTCCAAGCCTCCATGAGCAAGCCATTGGTGACAGTGGCAAGGAAAAACTCCCAAAGAGAGGAAGAAACCTTGAGAGGAACCAAGACTAAAAAGGGGAACCCATCCTTCTCTGGTTGACACCGGATAGCAAACAGCGTTCGTATGAAGTATTATAGTACAAAACAGGGAATACAGGCGGAGCAATGGTTAATTAGATTAGTTTTATCGGGAGGGTCAGTTCATGAGGGTGAAGGTTTGCACAGCGTTGTACAGCATGAAGCTCAACAGTGGTCAAGCCTGTCCAGAAGGCTGGTGAGCAGTGGGCACCCGATCAAGGCGGAAGAAGCAACAGCATCAGACCACACAGGATGGGCAGCTGTTCAACTCGACAGAGGAAGGAAAACGCACAGAGAGTTAGTTCTGTAGAGTGACTGATCACAGATTACACCCAAAGTGTTTAATGCTTCTAAAACCTACATCACAGAAAGGTTTTACATGAAAATGTTTCTGAATTTGCTGCCTGATGTCTGTCACATTGTTTTATGATAGTTTTAAGGGGCTATACTTTTTAGGGTCTATTCACGGCAGAAGGGTACCTGCGGGGTGTTGTGAGGCAAATTAGTCCCTAAAGAAAACTTATTTTTCCAGATGTACCACTATTATACCATCAAGTTTTTACAAATAAAAACTCAGAAGACACCTGTAAGCTCACTGGTGGTTTAGGATAGTAAATAAAATGGCGGTATTTGTGTTGTAGACATTGTGACCCCTGGTTCCTATCACCACCACTGTAAAGAAATCAGACTCTGTAAGTTTCTTTACAATGAACTGTTTCACGTCAAGTCATGCTGAATTACTTTGTTTACATCTCAATGGTTGAATTAAACAGAAATTTTGAAAAAATCAATGGAATTCCCCTTTAAATAAGAAAATCTCACTGTAGAGACATCATCATCTGTGGCATAAGCTATATATTTCATGAATGATTCTCACTGAGAGGGAATACAAAAAAAATGGATATTTATACCAGAGAGCTTTTATTTGAGTAAACACTGTCAAAGGTGGTTTTTAACTAGTTAGGTGTACTTAAGTAAAACGTTAACAGATTGTAGTTTGAAGTCAAGCTTTAGTAGATTTTTTTATTTTAAATTCATTTTATTTATAAATCATAATACTTTTACTTATACTCAAAAATACACTATATGTACAAAGTACTGGGACACCTACACATTACACCTACAGGAGCTTTTATGACATCCTATTCTAAATCCATGAACAATAATATGGAGTTGGTCCCCCCCTTTGCAGATATAATAGCTTCCACTTTTCTGGGAAACTTTCTACAAGATTTTGGAGTGTGTCTCTGGGAATTTATGCCCATTCATCCAGAAGAGTATTTGTGAGGTCACACACTGATGTTGGATGAGAGGGCCTGGCACACAGTGTCTGTTCTAGTTCATCCCAAAGGTGTTTGATGGGGATGAAGTCAGGGTTCTGTGAGGGCCAGTCAAGTTCTTCTGCACGAAACTCACCCAACCATGCCTTTATGGACCTTGCTTTGTGTACTAGGGCACAATCATGCTGGAACAGAAAAGGCCTTTCCCCAAACTGTTCCAACAAAGTTGGAAGCAAACCTGTGTCCAAAATGTCTTGGTATGCTGAGCAGTAAGATTTCCCTTCACTGGAACTAAGAGGCCTAGCTCAACCTCTGAAAAACAACCCCATAGCATTATCCCTCCTCCACCAAACTTTACAGTTGGCACAATGCAGTCAGGCAGGTAACGTTCCACTGGCATTCCTCAAACCGTCCATTAGACCGCCAGATAGAGAAGTGTGATTCTGATTCATCATTCCATAGAATACGTTTTCACTGCTCCAGAGTCTAGTGGTGGCATGCTTTACACCACTCCATCTGATGCTTGGCATTGTGCTTGCTGATGTAAGGCTTGCATGCAGCTGCTCGGCCATGGAAACCCATGCCGTGAAGCTACTTCCGCACAGTTTTTGTGCTGATGTTAATGTCAGAGGAAGTTTGGAACTCCGCAGTTATTGAGTCAGCAGAGCGTTGAAGACTTCTATGCATTACACACCTCAGCATTTAGCAACCCCGCTCTGTAACTTTACGTGATCTGACACTTCATAGCTGAGCTGCTCTGGTTCCTAAACGCTTCCACTTTTCAATAAAACCGCTCACAATTGATCATAGAATATCTAAGTGGGAAGAAATTTTAAGAATTGACTTGTTGCCATAATGGCATTGTATTACAGTACCACACTTAAATTCAGTGAGCTCTTTAGAACAATTCACTCTTTCACAAATGTTTGTAAGGGCAGACTGCATGGCTAGGTGCTTGATTTTATACACGTGGCAATGAGACTGAATGAAGCACCTGAATCCAATGATTATGGGGTGTGTCCTAATACTTTTGTCCATGTAGTGTATATGTGAGTATATATAAGTACTCAGTTCATTTTAGTTATTTGCATTTGCACTTAGTCACAGCTCTGACTTTTTAGGTTTATCATTTTGTACACCAGAAAGAAAAGAGTAATTTTAAACTTCAGCTCCTGTGCTGATAGATGCGGGGATCATAATGTATGCAATACAAATATAGGCCAGATTCTATCTCAGTCTTATCACTTAATTTTTGAGGCACCTTTTAGAGACGTTAAAGGGGAATTCCACCAATTTCATTTAAGACTTCTGAATAATTTAGTCCTTGAGGTGTAAACAAAGTTGACTTGAAATGGTTCATTGTAGAGAAACTTACAGACAATTCTGACTCGGCAGGTTTCACTAGAACGAAGCATTTCACATCAAACCACTCTGAATGACTATTTACACCACACCAATTTACTTATGCAGAAATTTTGAAATATCGGCGGAGTTGCCCTTTAAACGCCATGGACGTCTGGTTCCTATCACCACAACTACTGTGAACAATTCTGACTTGGTAGGTTTCTCTAGAATGGCGCATTTTACATCAGACCCCTTTGAATGACTTTGTTTACATCTTCATGATGTTATTGTGTCGGAATTGTAAAAAATCGGTAAATAACTCAATAATTTTGTATGACTTGCTGAAAGAGGCGCTGTCACCGCTCCAGCAGATGGCAGCGTTGACCCACTGCGCCGTGCTGGTGTTATGAGGGAAGAGTTTGTCTCTGCTGAGAGGAGGGCGGGCGTTAGAGCCGCTGTGATTTCATCCCGATGATCGAGCGCTCAGATTTTGGGTGGTGGCTGGAAGCGCTCAGGAATGCGGTTTGCTATATCAGTCATTTTTCAGAACGTAGCTTGATTTTTATTTGTTTCATTTCCTCCACAGCCGCTTTCCCCTGCGTATTTGCGAAGGCGAGATAAACCCGTTACACCAGGTGAAGGAGTCGCTTTATTTGTTGATTCACAAGCGCTGTTCCTAAAAGCTGACTTAGAAGCGTCTAGCCAAGGGAAGACCGTTCACAAATGCAGGCCATAAAGTGTGTTGTCGTCGGAGACGGGTGAGTATATGTAGCTGACGTTCGTTTTTAAGTTTCTCTCTTCATTTCATCGGCTAAAATGTTCTTTCATTAGCAGCGCAGTCTTATTTTATCCTTCGCAGCCGTTGCTAGCTAGCTAGTCAACCTAGCTACGTATTTTCTTTGTCTTAGACTTCTGACAGTAACATACAGCTTTAATGAGGTAATAATTGCTAACTTAGTTCATTAATATAATATATACCGGTTTTATAGTGGTTTGGTAAATTAATGTCAGTGAGATAGGAAGCTTTAAACTAACAAACAAAGTAACGTAACCAAACAGTGTCTTTGCTAGCGTTAGCTATAACGTTACCGGCCACAGATTAGATAACCTTAGCTAATAAAATGTGCTAGCTAGATGACTTAAAAACAGCAAAAGAGATTAACAAATCTATTACAGACTGATATATGTATTTAAATACAAAATCAGACATGGGGCTCTGCCCAGGCCAGTTTATTTTACGTTAACTACGGCAGCTAGCTAGCTAACTAACATAGCTAGAGTGTATCCAAGTTTTCCGCATTCCTTTATCCATTTTCAGCCCTGATTGACCCTAACGGAGTCACTGCGCAGTTACAAGACTACTGCTAACCTTTTTAATGGGGAACTCCGCAGACTTTTCATAATTTTTACATGATTTAGTGGTTGAAATGTAAACAAAGTCATTCAGAGTGGTTTGATGTAAAGTGATTAGTTGTATAGAAACTTACTGACTCTAGGATTTCTTCACAGTGAAGGTGATAGGACCAATCCAAAACTACCAGTGGACCTAAACGTGTCGTCCGAGGTTTTATATGTAACGCTAATTTTGAAAAAATCGTATCTGGAAATATGGCACATGGAGCTGGATTCACGAAAGCTTTAATACGAAGAAACATACGAATGATCTTAAGACAAACACTAAGCAGTTCATAAGAAGTTTTTTTCTTAAATTTGTTTGTGAGAAGGTTCTAAGAAAAAGTCTACATCAGATTGAAGACGTTCTTAATCTGCATAATTGTTTTTACCTTCGCGCTCTTCACTCTGCGTAGAGTCTAATCTCATCTAAGAACAAATCCTAAATGAGAAAACATTGATGAATGTCAGAATTTGTAAAAACTGTGTTAAGTGGGTTTTAAGAAGAAACTCCTTTTTAAGAATAGTTGGTGAATGAGGCCCAATGTTTTTAAATATAATTCTCATAAAGTAGTTCTCCAATGTTTTCTAAAGAAAATCAGAATTGTTTTTATATAGGTTGTATATTACTTGTCATGTAGACCATGAATATCATACATATATTTCAGTTAACTGGTTATTCATTGTAATCAAATCAGTGCTCACGGATAGCAAAATAAAGGGAAAACAAAATCAAACCAAATTTGACAAGCAAGAACAATGATGGTGGAGGAAACAGCCAAGAGGTAAAACCCATCTTGGTCTATTCTATCAGTTATATTTTGTGAAACTCAGTACAAGTTACAGTTTAAGAGGTTTACCAGTTCTCACAGTCTAAGACTGTATGAGTGAGATTAAGATAACATTTTTTTTTTCAAGAATACCCTTGCTCTTACAATTATTCTTAAGAAAAAACATGATATATAAACAATAATAAAGACAAACAAAGAAATAAACAAGAAATAAAGAAAATACATACGTTTTTTTTTAAGAATAAAAAAAGTAGGTTGTTAAGAAAAAAGGCACATTTTCTTTCTTAAGACACTTGTGTGAATCCGGCCCCTTGGGAAAATTTGCTGGGGACTGTTTTGCCTCATGACGCTCTGCATATATGTCTCCACCATGAATGGATTTTAAAAATTACGTTCTAGGCCTAAACCTATCTCAGAACTATCGTAAAACTTTCTTCTGGACATCAGGCAGCATATTCACAACAATTTCATGGAGTAACTTCCTGTGATGTAGCTTTTAGAGGCATTAAACTCTTCAGACGTCTGGTTAACCACCACACAACAATTCTGACTTGGTAAGTTTCTCTAGAACGAAGCATTTTATACCAAACCACTCTGAAAGTCCTTGTTTATATCTTAACACTTCAATTATGCAGATACTTTAAAAAATTGCTGGAATTACCCTTTAGGTTTTTTTTAGATTTGTGGTATGTTAACATAACTAAACAAATCCAAGCAAGTTTTTAAATGACCTTGTCGTGTGTTACAAGGTCTGTTCAAATACTGTTTTGTGATTTATGTCCAATTTACATCTCATGGCTGGCCAAGATGGTTTAAATGTGATTTTCACAATTTTTTCCTAAATTTCTGCAAAATTAAATTGTTGAAATATATACCGTCATTCAGAGTGGTTTGATGTGAAATTGTGCATTGTAGAGAAGCTTACAGACTTAGACATTTTTGCAATGGTGGTGATAAACTATGGGTGACGGCATCTACAACAGAAATACAGCAATTGCTTTACTACCCAAAACCACCAGTAAATCTAAAGATGTCTTTTGAGTTTTAATAATAGTAAAATTTTGCTTTACATGTACGGCATGTATCTTTCCACACTTCAAAAATATATTTCAGGCCAAAACCATATAGATAAGACATAAAACAGTGTTTTAGGCACCATTTTCATAACCATTTCACATAACTTGCTATGATCTAGCTTTTACAAAAATTAAAGGTACTAGAGATCAGTATATGCCTCCTATCACCACTACTTTGGACAATTCTGACTCATTAAGTTTCTCTAGAATGGTGCATTTCACACTCAGAATGACTTTGTTTAAATTAAAAAAAAAAATTCTGCAGAAATTTTCAGAAATCTGTGAAATTCCCCTCTAAAAAAAAATATATGGAATGAACTCTGACTCTTCCTGATAAAAGTGATACTGTGATCTGAAACTATTGTGAAAATTTTAAGCATGTTTTTTTTTTCATACATTTTTATCATTGTTTTTGACAAGGTTAAACCTCTTTTCCCAGATGAAATTAAAGAATTCATCAGAATTGATTGATTATTGATTTCATTCATTCATTTAAACTGCCTGAATTGATACCCATCTCTGAAAAATGAATTAAGCATCAACTGACTGTTACTGATAGATGATATCTCTCTTTTACAGAGCAGTGGGAAAAACATGTCTTCTGATCAGCTACACCACCAATGCCTTCCCTGGGGAGTACATTCCCACAGTGTAAGTGCACAACCTCTGCAGAACACATGTTTCACAGTCAAGCTTACTCTGAGAACAGCCTCTTGTTTTATGACCATTCTTTTCTTATTGTTGAGAATGTTTTTGCTATTAGTCCTCTATACAGTTTTATACAGTTTTACACCGTTAAAAGAACTTTTTGTTTACAGGTTCGACAATTATTCTGCAAATGTGATGGTCGATGGGAAGCCAGTGAACCTGGGGCTGTGGGATACAGCAGGACAGGAGGACTATGACAGGCTCCGACCACTCTCATATCCTCAAACGGTACAATGATGATAGCAAACACCATGTAGAATGAATAATATTTAACTTAAGGTGGGCAATATGACAGTGTTATCTTGATAAATAACATTGGAATACACTTTTATTTATATAAAGATCCTAAAAAAGACAGAGTTGGGTCAATCATTGCACTGATTTTATTGTATTCATGTGGTACTGCTGTTTTTTGTTTGTTCCAAACTTTAGAAAAAATAAATATTGTGATGTATATCGCATTATAATGAACCCACTTCTAGTTTTAACAGTCCAACTAACTTGGTGCAGTACTTTATCGTCTATCGTGCCAGTGCCTATTGCAGAGAAAAATCTGTGGTTATTTGTTGAACAGTACATAAAGTAGCCTATTGTCTCATCCACTACTCATTTGGGCACAAAAGTGAATGGTTCCTCTGTTTGCTATCAACTGTGTTTGGTATCTCTGTTTTTATTTTTGTACAAGTTAAACAAGTGTAGTCAGTGTTCAAGCTAGAAAGGAAAAAGGAAGTTTAGTTTATGTTCTTAAATATTTATTGTTGTTCTTAAATGTTCTTCTGCAGACAATCATATTTTAAACTTGCAGATGTATGAATTAGCATCTTCATGTGATGTGCCTGCTCATTCTTTTTTTTTCTTTTTTTTTGTAGGATGTATTTTTGATTTGCTTCTCACTTGTGAGCCCTGCTTCGTTTGAGAATGTTCGTGCCAAGGTAAGAAACATCCTTTTAAATCAAGAGTGGGGAACTGAGGTCTAGAGTCCAGCACAGTTTAGTGATTTTGCTGCTCTAACATAGCAACTATACCTGGTGAAGTTGAGTTGAAAGGAAATGTAGTCAATCAGCCAAAACATCCATATTTTGCTGGAGCTGTGAGGCTAATGTTGCTAATAAGCACTGGAACTCAAACACACACGTCTCTGCTGTATAGGCCCACAATGTCTCTCAGCCTATTTAAACTGCATCCAGATTTTTATTAAGGTCACACAGACTTACCTGTGTGGTTTAAGACACAGTATGATTTGCTGTGAGCTATAAAAATGAACAAAACTGCACTGTGTTGTCAAACACTTCGATCAGCAATTTTAGACAACAGATGTTGCCCTGAATTCTTACTCTTTTTCGTGTGCTTACACGTCATGCAGGCATATGGACGTTACAGAATGTGTTTGTGATTTTTGTTGATTCCTTTACGACTATCTGTTAATCTTCAATTTTCCAACTTAAGATATAAAGATCTAATTACAAATATAAATAGAAACAGCAGAAATCGTGAACATAATCTAATCTCTGTACGTCTTGATGTGCATGCACACAGAGAGGAGTCTGAATTCAGCTGCCTGCAGCGTTAAGCTACACAGTGAAGTTTTGTTCACTTTTAAAGTTCAGACGAAGTCATACAGTGATATCAGCAAATCCGCTCAAAAAATTGTGTGACTTCTGTTGTTTGATAGAAACATAGCCTTGTAGCTCTAGTACTAAACTAAACAAGCAAAATTGGACACCAAACACATTTTGGTTGAGTGACTATGAAGGAAAATTGTAAATTTAATTAAACTATTTGTTTAGGCAAGAAAAATTAAACTGTAAAGGATTATAGCCCTTCAGGTCCTTTTTACTGCAGCTAGGAAAGTAAAAGTTAATGAAATGCTGATGGTTCCTGGAAAAACATCTAAATATAACAAAAAGTGAAAGAGGAAGGCGCTAAAAATAATCTGTCTGGATTTCTTGTATATTGCATGAAGCTGTATCAGCAGGCACTTTCATAGAAACTAAGCTTAAAAAAATGCAAATATGGTTGGTTTTGTTTGTCTCTGCACAAAGACTTGTCCTGTTTTTGCCAGTGATTATTTATTCATAGGACCAAGCTCATACAATAAATCTGTTCAATCAAACTACCGCAATCTTCTATGATTGTTCTAGTTTAGAAAATGTTTTAATGTGTCATTGTAGAAAATACTTTGATAAAGGTATCTTGTTTCAGTAAAATGCCACATCATGCTCACTTTTTAAGGCTTCATTTTTTTTTTTCTTTGATTTTAAATGCAAGTGACCTATGTCATGTTTTCCACAGTGGTATCCTGAAGTCAGACATCACTGCCCCAACACCCCAATTATTCTTGTTGGGACCAAGCTTGATTTAAGAGATGACAAGGACACTATTGAGAAGCTGAAAGAGAAGAAGCTCACTCCCATCACTTACCCACAAGGCCTTGCAATGGCTAAAGAAATTGGTTAGTAGTAATACTGCAAAATATGTATTTCTAAAATTGGGATGACCTAGCCAAGCAACAGAACATAAGAGCGAGCAAGTGTATTATGACTAATAGTAAAGATAAACACAATGTGTTATTTACAATAATCTACAAGTCAGATATTCTACTGCTTTCATACAACAATTTCATAACTTAAGAAAGAAGTAAAGCAAAGAAACCTTAAACACTATTTCCAATAAATGTTTTAATATTAGCATTTACCTTCAAAAAAGTAGTTCTAGCAGCATAGAGAAAAATTAATTATTGTTACTTAGCAGCCAGTTGTGAATGGAATGATAAAATATGGTGAAAAAGCTTGCTGTACATATAGACCTCTAGAAGTCATGTTGTCTTTCTGTAGATGGTGTCATTGCCTTATAAGGATATCTGTGTCTGAGCAGTTTTTCTCTGTGACAAAAAATGTGTTTTTGAAAATTGCTGCTATCAAGCTCTCTGGTAAAGGGGTGTCACTGAATCCTCCTGAATTCAAGCTCTGTGGTAAAGGAGTGCCACTGAATCCTCCTGAATTATGATGTTATTTATTATTTATTTGTGAATAATGTTGCATACATGTTATAAGCAAGCTAATTCTCTTGAGCATTTAAGTGAATTGACTTGAAATGACTATGTTGTTGTGTCGTCATTCTGTAGTTGGCATCATGTCCAAATTAGGAACTCTAAACAGTTTTTTTTGGAGGGGAAAAATGAATGCTGTTTTCCAAAAAACACCACCATCACACTATGTAGAAAAGCCAAATATTCCAGACCCAGTATTTTTAGCTGTATTACATTTTACTTCTGAGTGTTCCTGGATCCACTGAATTATAATTTTGTTGAGGAGTTGAATACCTGAATATTACTGCATGCAAGCTACCGCTGCTGTGCACTCAAATGACATCTGAAAATTGGAAGTCTCAGCCTCAGATGGTCTACCCACTTGGAAACAGACCACCTGATAACGTTTACACATAAAACTAGCCACAACTATCTGGATTTTAGTAATCCAGTTCTCTGCCATATTGATAATTTTACTGCGAATTTACGTCAAAATGAATTTTTTCCAGTAAAAATTCATTTCAGTAGTCCAAACTGAAATGTTACTAGTTCGTTTAAACATTGATGCACTACACTATTTCTCTTATTTCTGTGCAGGAGCTGTGAAGTATCTGGAGTGCTCAGCCTTAACTCAGCGTGGCCTTAAGACAGTGTTTGACGAAGCCATCCGTGCGGTACTGTGCCCGCCGCCGCTCAAGAAGAAGAAGAGGAAGTGTCTGCTGCTCTGAAGTGAACGCATTTAAAGAACCGGCTGCGATCTGAGCTCACCTGAGAAGAGGAGTCAGGAACAGTGGGGAGTATGTGTTGGGGTGCAAGAGGGAAGACTCTGTGATGAATCATACCCATACAAATATGTCTCTCTCACTCATGTATTGTAATTTAGACTTACTTCTGTATAACAGACTCTATCTTAGGCTCCTGGAGTTTGTCTCAAGGAGATGTTGGATGGCTTTTCCTAGTTAATGTCCCCTCACACTAAGAAATTCCTGCTGCCTTGTAATAATGTACTTTTTCATGTTTATGTAAAGTTAAACAACCCCCCCCCTTTCCTCCATGTGAGCCCATATATTTTGTTTACACTCTGTTTTTTTTGTTTTTATAGAAAATGAAGAATTGCCAAAACCTAAACCTACCTGTAATGGCTTTTACTTAAATTGTGCATACTAAACTTAAAATTTTTTGGTTTTGTTTGTTTTTAAGGGAAGCCCCTAGGCAACAACTAATTTCCAGAAATCTCGAAGGAAGGCTTTGACATGGACAATACAAAAGTTTTGAAGTGTAGTAGAGAGCTTAATTTTGTTTATTTAGTGTATACTGTGGTTAAGCAGTTGCTACACAAATGTTATCCAGCAAACATCCATTTGTTCTAATGTTGTTTTACATTTTGTGTTAATATCTGCTGCAGCTAGTCATGCAGTCTTTGTAGGAGATAGCTTTTATTATTTCACCAGTATTGTACAGAGACTGTAGTTTGACAGAATGTGCAGATCTTTTCTAAGCATGATTAATTCAGAGGTAAGTCAACAGTGACATGGTTAAGGAAGTTTAAAAAGTGCCAGTGCAGACCTAATGGCAGTGTGCAGTTAAGCTCTCAAGATACAGGAATCTGAAATCACAGGAATGAATGGAAATTCACATTGACCGTATGCATTTTAGTGCATTTTGTATTTGATGTAGAAATAATAGGCAAATAGTTGAATTCTTGGCGCAATTTTTAGAAATACATTTTTTATCTTACTCTGTGACAGTATGAAGACCATGTCAGCTTTGTTTTACTGCATTTTAACTGGAGTTACAGTGTATTAACCATTACCTCTGATGTTTAATTTTGTCACGTCTTTAAATGATCTGAGGTACTGTAAAAGCGTTCAGCAATTCTGATCTCAAAAGACGGATGAGTGTTCATTATTGGAATCATGCCTGCAAGTTAAAGATTCAGTAGTGTTAATTATCTTGTAGAAGTCGGAGTTTATCCTCAAAAGAATATTTGTACTGAAAGCTGGCAAGTGATTCTTCTTCATAGCTGAATCCTGAGTCCTTCACTGGTTACTCTTCCACTTGTCAAACACAAGTTTAGCAGAGATGGCATCTTGTATTCCCATTCCTGCATACAAAAATTAATCAAATGCTAAATTTCGCAGCCTTTAAAATTACTCTTATCTTAGAGATAAGAACACAAAGCTCAAAAGAATAAGACGAACGAGAACTTTACTTTCTGTGAAATGAACTAATTGATTAAGATGTGAACAAAGTCATTCAGAGTGGTTTATGTGAAATGCTCCACTCTAAAGAAACTTGGACTTTGATTTGTTCACATTAGTGGTGATAGGAACCAGATGCCTTGAAGCATGTAACACCTCTAAATGCTCCCTCACAGTAAGCTATTACATGAAATAGTTACAAATATATTGTATGATGCCTGACACATTGTTCTAAGATTTTTTGAGAGATGGTTTTAACCTAAAACATATTTTTAAAACAAATACATGATGCATTCAGGGTGTTGAGGCAAAATCACCCCCCAAAGAAAACTTCAGATTTACCATTATTTTATTATCAACACTAAATAAAATCGATATATTTTTGTTGACTGTAGACTGACTCCTAGTTCATGTCACCGCCACTGTAAAGAAATTTGACTTAAGTTTCTCTATAATTCACCATTTCACATACATTCAAACCAGCTTGCATTTCAACTACTGATTTATGGAGGATTTAAAAAAAAAAACTGTTGAATTAGGCAGAATTTTTAAAAAATCAGTCGAATTCCCCATATCAGGTTTTTAAAGGCGTGCTAAAACTGGACCTTTACCATCTGGAGAAAGCTTAACTTTGTGAACATCCTGGCTTTAAATAGACTCAGCAGGGTTTCAAGGGAATTGTCCCAAGGGACACGAACCAGGGCAAATAAAAGCAAATATCAAGACTATCAAAGAGCAAACATTGCTGAGAATTAGCAGCGTGCTGTTTTTTACCACTGGAGATCAAGCTGGTTGTGGGAAATTGCCTGTTTCAACTACTGACATTTCGTAATTCTCATCTTCCGTTGTTATATGAGTGAAGAGAAAAGGTTACCCAGAGACTTGAATACTGTTGTCTTCTCACAGAGAGCAGGCGAGGTTCCATTTATAACCTCTCCAATTTCAGCAAACACTTTCGCCTGGAGAAACAGAATACATTCATAACAGTTACGTTAACATCACTGGTGCTCCTTTCAGTTAACTATCACTGATTTTTAGGGTTTGTCCAGTTAAAATGTCTGTTTGAAGCTCAGTGAATATTCAGTAAAGAATATTTGTGCTAGTGCTTCCTTAGATAGGCCACTGTTCAAATGAATAAACACTATTGGGATAATAAAGCTGTAGTAATCAGAAGTGTTTGTATAGCGGGAAAACTTTAATGATCTTCAGATTAGTCACTAAATTGTACCCCAGACAGAATAATGTCTCCTGACTCCATTGCAGCTCCCTCTCTGCTGTCAACGTAGATAGCAGCATCTCTCATCAAAACATCATCCAGTTCCCTCCAGTTTGGTCGGCATCCCCCCACCGCTAATGGTATAAAATCATTAAAAAGGTGTGGTTTTAATAGTGTAACTGTAAAATACAGGGTGCCCATACATCCTGGAAAACCTTGAAATGTACAGCTTACTTTTGCAATCATGGAAAACACCTTCAAAATAAGAAAATTTATCAAATGTTCTGAAACAGTGGAAAGGGCCATGAAATCAGAGGGATTGCATTTTATTTACTATATCGCTGTGCGTAGGACCCTATTGTTAATGCTCGGATTTTTCTAGTTCTTCTTCTTATTATTATTCTTTTTCTCCTGAAAAACATGTGGAGAAGAGACTGTAAGACCTAGAGACACCAAACTTTTTGGGTAGGTGTAGTTTGTGTGCATCTTGCCAGGCAACAAAAATGGTTGGCCAAAGTGGGGCCACTATAGAGCAGCAAAACACGTTTTTTTTCATAACTCCTGAACCAAGATATGTAGAGACAAAATTCTTTTCAAAAACCTACTTTTGCTAACTATTCCTATGATTTTCACTCAGTCCTCATGTATGTGGTCTCAAAAAATTTAGAACAGTCTGTTCATCAATATTCAGCAAAAACATTTTGACTTTTGTAAACAATATGGCTATCATATGCTAATTAACCCTTCTGACATAATTCAAAATTCATTTAAAACTCTATAACCTGAGAATGATTCTGCCAAAAACATTGAAACTTGACAGGCTTATTCAGAACAAGATTCTGTGGTAGTCTATCACTTTTGGTGCGGGGCAGGGTAATCGCCAATTAACTGTTTCTCAGCATCCGTGCATCAGATCAAGCTGAAACTTGGCATGCAGCATCTACTAGACAGAGTATAAGTGAATCTTTAAGGACAATTTGATACATTGAAATTTATGACTGCCATCAGCCAATCAGCATTCAGCAGGCTTTTGACAGGCTTAACATTGACCAGTCATCATGAAACTTGAATGCCGTCTGTATGTAGCCACTTTCTAACAACCAGTGAAGTTTCAACAGATTTGGCCACTTGGGGGTGCTATTCATGAAAATCAATTAATTACTCAATTAGTGTTATTAATATACCATTACTATTTTCACCCAAAATCTATATACATCTAATGTAGTAGAGTGTGACAAACAAATTTACAATTACAATTAATACATAATTTTTTGTAATCGTTAACTGTTTGAAAAACAGACTTTTTGAACTAGTCTCTGGATTTTGATCCAAAGTTTTCAATTGGTCTAGAAATACTCTCTGGGGTCTCTAGGTAAATAATCATCAAAATAATGTTGACATTTTCACTCAACATGGTGTTGCTCTATCAATTCATCACTGCGGCCATGGCATTTGCTAGCTTGATTTGCTATAACTCATCAGTCTTTGGTCCTTTCATCTCAAAACTTTAGGTGTTTGTATAAATTAAGACTCAGATGGGATCTGCAACATTTAGTCCAGACTGGCCTTTAGGGGGCGCATTAGCACTCAAAAACACTAAAAATCATTAAAAATGCTATTACAAGGTTACTAGAAAGTCTACAGATAAACAACTAGTGACATTTGAATCAGTTCATTGACCTGAATAACTTTGCAATTACATGTTATGTCAGAAATGTCTGTCCAATGTAGTCTGGTATTTTGGCTTAAATTTGTTTGGCACACTGTACTTTTCACCATGGTTGCCTATTAGGCCTAAATGGGCTGATGCATGCTTGGACCCACTCATTGCTGCTTGCGGCTATATTTGCAGTTTTAATCAATGTCACATATTAGTTAGAAAAATCACAATTAGATATTTTCCCCAAATTGTACGACACATCAGCCTCTTGCAGCATGTTCAGTTCTTGAATTTTTTTAGTAGGGTTTGAGTCAATATATCAGTCATAATGAGTCTTTAAGGGCGGTATTGTAGACTTTAATGTTAAGGATGTCGGCAGTTGTTTGTCATTTTAAGATTTAAGGTAAAGACAGAGTAAGAACTCTGAAAATATCTACACAGATGCATAAAGTGATAGTTCAGTGAAAAAAAACACCCCCACTTCAGCTCCAATGTAGTCTGTCAGTGTAGACATGTTTGGCTGTCTGAGGTTTGCTTCATCAGTTCTGCACTGGAGCTACAAGGCTCCTGTACAGTCATATGTAAAGGTTTAAACACCTGATTTTATCAGTGAAAAGAAGTTTACAGATCCTCTATGGCAAGCGTGTCAAACTGGGGACCTTCCAGGCCAAAGTGCTGCAGATATTAGTGTTTACCCTCATCTAACCCTATGAATTCAGTTCATGAAGGCTTTGCTAATTAGCTGATGAGCTGAATCAGGTGTGTTCAATAAAGCAGTTTGCTAAAGTCTTTAGTGTCTTGGTTTGCAAAGACTGGATCCTGACACATGCTCTACAGGGAACAAACTTAAATCTGCTCATTTTAGTGCACATATTCCATTTATATGTTGAGCATAATGTATTGGGAGAAAAATAAAATATGTGCCATAACTTGTATTTCTTTCCCAATTAAATTCAGCAAATAAACAGTAATTGTGCATTAAAATGTGTTGGAAGGAAGAGGAAAAGAGCTGAGCGGTCATTTAAAGACGGATCAGCCATTATCCTTGGAATGTTCTTACCTGCAACATGAGCACCAGGCTTAACCCACTCCCCAAAGAGCACTGGTTCACTTGAGCTAGTAACTGTCACGATTACATCAGCTCCATTAACTGCTTCTTTAACAGATGAACACACTGTTACAGGACCCTGGACACTAGCTGCAAACTGCTTTGCCATTTCTATTCTTCTACTCCACACACGGACCTAAAGACACAGCAACTTTGTAGTAGGGCCCAATCAATATATAGGTTTTATAGCTGATACTGATTTTAAGAAGCTAGAATTTTAATAACCAACTATGGCTGATTTTTATGTGGTCAAAAAGCAAACTGACTCCAAGCTGACTGTCATATTCCTTAAACTCAAAGAAACAGAAGCAATACACAAAGTCTTACATAATAAATATAAAACAAAACACTTGTAAATAACCATGTACCCATGTAAAAGGTATATATAGTCTTATATACAGGTAAATAACATGGACCATCATATGTTGAACTCAAGTTCCTTTAATATTTGATGTTGTTCAAAATAGTATCACAAGCCTCAATGAGTTATTTTTTTTATTTTATGGCCATTTCTGCAAATGCAGGCACTTTAAGGTCCTGGCATTGAATTTGTGGATTTATGTCAACATAAGCATAATGCATAGTGAATGGCTTCTTAGTGTAACGACACACTTTCACATATAAATTGGTTGCTAATGTACTAAGCTAGGGCGGCACAGTGGCGCTGTCGCCTCACAGCAAGAATGGCCTGGGTTCGATTCCCGGCTGGGTGACCAGGGTCGTTTCTGTGTGGAGTTTGCATGTTCTCCCCGTGTCTGCATGGGTTTCCTCCGGGTACTCCGGTTTCCTCCCACAGTCCAAAAACATGCAGTCAGGTCAACTGGACGTGCTAAATTGCCCCTAGGTGTGTGTGGATGTATATGTCTGTTTGTCTGCCCTGCGATGGACTGGCGACCTGTCCAGGGTGTATCCTGCCTTCCGCCCGATGACAGCTGGGATAGGCTCCAGCACCCCACCGCGACCCAGAAGGATAAGCGGTTTAGATGATGGATGGATGGATGTACTAAGCTAATGTAAATTACGAGGCATAAAGTTTTATTCATGTCCAATATCTGTGATTTCAATCTTCAAATGCAGATGAATGCATAAATAATGAAACCTCTAAAGGTGCATGTCCCACTTTGGTAAGTCCTTTAATAATCTAAAATAATATATAAATTTTTTTCAAAGCCAAACAAACCTACCTTTGATTGAAATAAGTATCAAAATCAAAGTAAATCTTTTTCGTATTCTGTATCTTCTGCATGTCCTTACAGTAGCACTTATAACTATCGTGTTGTAGACTTCATAGTCATATTGTTGTTGAGTTTACATATATTAGAAGTTGTATCAGGGCACACTGTTTGACAATTGTTGTAGTACAGATATGTTTCAGAAAAGATATTTTGGCTCTTTTTCTAAAAAATTTGGACAGCCAAAGCTGCCCGTGTATGCAAAAACCTTTATATATCTTGCATGCTAGATTTTCACCAACACCTTAATATCAGCCAGTCTTGGTTACCTCTTTAAATGAAAAGAGCTGCATGAAGACTTCATAATGACTAAGCGCCTGGTGTCCAGAACCTAGTATGCACAATATGTCCGACTCAGCTGGCTTCAACAGCTAATGGAAGAAAAAAATATTTAGTATTAATGTTTCTTGGCAAGTAAATCATTTTACATCTAAAAAGCAGATAGAGTTGAGGGACTTACTTTGGCAGATATGGCTGACACAGCTGCTGTTCTTTTATGTGTGATATCTAATCCATCCATAACCTGTCAGAGGGAAACCCAACAGTAGTGAAAGACTGTAGTTACTACTGCACATTTCCATTTAGGGGGCACCATCAGCATGATTGCAAATAGAATATCTCTTGAATGTACACTCACTCGCCATTTTATCAGTTCCACTTACCATATGGGGCATTTTTAATTACAGACTGTAGTCCATCTCTTTCTCTGTGCACTTTGTTAGCCCTCTCTTTACCCTGTTCATCAATGTTCAGGACCACCACAGAGCAGGTATTGTTTGAGTGCTCGATCATTCTCAGCATTGCAGTGACACTGATGTGGTGGTGGTGTGTTAGTGTGTAAGTGTGTTATATGCTGGTACGAGTGGATCAGACACAGCAGTGCAGCTGGAGTTTTCAAACCCTGTGTCCACTCACTGTCCACTTTATTAGATACCTTGTGATTAGTTAGAGATAGAGAAAATGGATCATCTGCTGCTGCGGAAGAAGATTGATTCTCCAGACACTTTGAATTCTACACCTCAGTTTCTGTTCATCCTCTAGTCTGACCACAGGAGCAATCTATATGGTATGTGGACCTGATACGGTGGACAATGAGCTGATAGATTTAGAGTTAGGCCAGGGGTTCAGAATGCCGTACAGAGCCCACATCCTACATTTTCGTTACCCTGAAGTCTTATTATAATCTTTGTGCGGTTTTAAAAACAGTCATCATTCATTTTTACTTTTTCCAACCTCTCTTTAATCCTCAGAATTTAAAGGGTTGTTTTTGTTATTGTGTCTTTAAAGCACTATTCCATAGGGAGATGGGGTAATGGATGTTTATCAGAGGATGTCTGGGACGTAGGAGCACACAGTCCGTAAAAATGACGGACATGGCGCATTCCCACTGGATAAGAAATGTCAGTATAAATAATAGAGATAGGCATGGCTACTCAATTTATGCACTGCTTTTACTCCAAAAAAGAGTAGAAAACATGTCAAATCATATAATCTAGCTGTTCTTCTTTTTTGCCAATTTTCTCCCCAATTTGGCAGTGTCTAATTCCACCCACTAGTTAGAACTTCCCCAGTCACACAATACCACCACCGCTAACAGGGTGGAGGCAAACACAAGCTTGCCCCAAACCACTGCATCTTTTCTAACTGCTGCCAACGCACCATCATTGGACAGCTGAATGTGCTTGGAGGAAACACCCGCGCTGGCTAGCATCACACTGAGTAACGGGGGGAGAGGGAGGACCATCCTACCCACCCAAGGCCAACTTTGTTCTTTTGGACCTGGCCACAGGTGGCTCTAGTTGTTTTGCATAGCAAAACGTTCGTTTTATAGAACGTAAAAACCGCCAGAATCTTTGCTGACGTGGGAGTGAGCAGTCCGTAAAGATGACTGACGTGGCGCATTCGGATAGGACTAAAAGAAACTCGACTAAAAAACACATTACTCCACCTCCCCTGTAAAACTAATCTCATCGGAATAGGGCTGTAAACTGATACCCAGAAGTGACCTCTGTTCTGATTGGCTGCCGTTTTGCATGGTCCAAAAGCAGGTTGCAACACTTCTTCAATGACAGTGGGCGGGGCTAAACTGCTGCAGGCCAAATAGCCAGAAATATGTAAACATGCTGGTTAAGTGACATCATAAAAACAAGGCAATCAAAATGGGCTGTTTTTACAGCTTAGTTTTCATATATAGACCAGGGAGTGAATGGTATGTTTTTGAATTTTAACAATGTTTACATACAGTTTATATAGATGAGGAAAATTCAATTTTCCATGCAATGGGCCTTTTAATACAGCCCTGGAATGTTAGTTTTAGTCCTCACTGAAAGATGGGAAGCTTTGATTATTAGTTGAGCTACAGTATTACAGATCCTAGCTTAAAGCAAGTCTGAGCAGTTTTACGGAACAGAAAAACGTGTTCATGTCTCTGACTCACCGCGATGACGTTCCCATACATAGGGTCAAAGAGTAACACAGTGGCCTGAGTTGATGGCAAACTAGACCCTTCGTCACGTCTGTAGAAGGCCACCATCTTCGTGCACAAAATGCCTTTATATGCTACATATGCAGGCATTAGCCCCAAAAACCTGTTTAAAATAAGTTTTAAAGTAGGTTAATGTTCAGTCTAAAGTGGTTATACTGACTGTAAGGGCAGTACAATAAAGACAGTCGTACCCGTTGTGGTTCTCTATAGGCATCACCGACCTCACCGGCTGCACCACTTCTGCCCTATCCCGGAGAGAAAACTTCCCCAAAGCCTCTTCTAACCGGGGAATTAAGTCGTCGTAACGAAGGAGACGCGCAACGACATCGTCACTCAGGAAAACGGGCTGCTGAGCCATTCTCTCTATCTTCTAGTCTGCATTCGAAGCTCAGGAGAGGCTGACTTTAAACACTTTAGCTTCACGTGTGAATGGCTGAATCTCAAATGGCTCCCTGTTCCCTACTGTACAGAGGGAAGTGTGACTTGTGAGATTTTGTCTTTTTCACTTAAGTGGTGCCCTGAAATTCGGATAGGGACTCCTGCACATGTGGCCGAATCCCCAAATCGCTCTTTGTTCAATATATTATGTACTGTTTGTGTGAAGAAGATTTTATTTTAAGACCTACGCTGTGCACACGTGGTCACGTGAACAGAAAGAACGATCCAATAGCGGAACTCTATTGTTGTTGTTTTTTTTTAATATCCATAGTATTCCGATAGCAATGTCAATGCCAATATTGTGCATGACATAAAAATCTTTGTGTAACTTTTAAAGTAAAATGTTTAAAATTCAAACATCAATAAAATAATCTATTAACAAAAAACAAATCTATTTAAATTCTAATAATAGTTAACTACAGTCTCTACATAGTAAGTTTTACATTTTTAGGATTTTTCATACATATGCAATTAAATACATATTCATTTTTTTTAGAACAAATACATAACATTTATATAATCTCACTCAGCACTTCAAGTACACCTCCCTTGTATCTAGTTTTACTGAGCATTTCATCAGGTCCACTTACCATTTAGGTGCACTTTGTAATTCTACAAATACAGACTGTAGTCCACATGCATACTTTGTTAGCCCCCTTTCACTCTGTTCTTCAATGATCAGGACCACCACAGAGCAGGTATTATTTGGGTGGTGGGTTATTCTCAGCACCGCAGTGACACTGATGTGGTGCTGGCGTGTTAGTGTACGACTGGTACAAGTGGATCAAACACAGCAGTGCTTCTGGAATTTTTAAACACTCAGTGTCCACTCTATTAGACACTCCTACCTTGTTGGTCCACTTTGTAGATGTAAAGTCAGAGCTGTTAAAATTGACGATAAATGTAGATACGAGGTGTACTTAATAAAGTGTTCAGTGAGTCTATGTAATACCATTACTCCACTAGGTTAAATATGAAGCCATTTAGTTACACATCAGTTATTCAGAAGTTATAGGCAGAATTCATTTGTTTATAAAAACGTGATAGTAATCAATTATATGTATTGTTACATGTACTGAACTACACTTCTAAGGGATTCTGACAGAGTTTTTTCAAATAATACTGCCACTGCTATATTTAAAAGGAATATTCTTTCTACTTACATTTTAGTTCCTAATTTCTTTTACTTCATTCCATTCTGTTGATTCAGCACCTGAACTTCTATACTGCCATTCACAAGTGTCACTTAGAAACTTCAGCATTTTATTTTAGACCAAAAGGAACAGAAATACGGAAGAATATACCTAATAAACCCATTTCTATGCTGACAGATGCTGGATATGGTAAGTTTTTGGACCTGATACTCACTCACACTGGGCCTCATTCACTACCCATTCTTAAGAAGAAATTTTTCTTAAAACCTTCTTACATAGTTTTTACAAATATTCTGACATTCACCAATGTTTTCTTAAGTAAGAACAGAATCTATGCACACTCAAGAGCACAAAGATGCAAACAGTTCTGCAGTTTAAGAACACATCATGAATCTGACAGACTTTTTCTTAAGACCTTTCTCAAGAACAAATTTAACAAAAAAAAACTTAGGAAGATATTGGTGAATGAGGCCCAATTTTCCATGCGTAGCTACTTCTAAAAAAAGTTTTTTCACTGTGAAGCAACAATATTTGTATGTTTTTACAGGAGAATTTTGCTGATTTTTCAAAACGTGTGCATAATTCAGTGGTTGATAAACAAAGTCATTCAGAGTGGTTTGATGTGAAATGGTTCACTGTAGAGAAACTTTGTAATTGAGATTTCTTTACAATAGTGGTGACTGGAACCAGGGGTCACAATACCTACAATACAAATACGGCCTGTTTATTTACTATTTCCAAAACTACAAGTAAACCTGTGTCTTTATGTTTTTATATGTAATATTGTTTATGGTAGTGATAAATCTGGATAAAAAAAAAAAACATGTTTCAGGCCAAAATCTTATCACAAAACTAGATCACAATAAAAACCCTCATGATTCTGTACATGGGATTACAGAATCTACATACATTAAACAGACTAGACATCTGAAATTACAGCAGGCTCAGACCAAAAGCCTCTCAATAGCCATCTGCACAGACTGAATCTGAGGTTTCAGTTGTGATCCTTCCTTAATGGTGATTGATGTGGCGATGACTGGTCTCGACACCCCACATGCTCGTCCGAGGGCTTGTTTAGACCTCACAAAAACGTAAGGCACGTTTTTGTCCTCACACAGCAATGGAAGGTGCAGAATAATCTCCAGTGGTTCAGCATCAGCAGCCATAACGATGAACTCAGAAATTCCACGGTTCAGAGTTTTAGTGGCTGTATTAAAAAAATAAATAAATAAATAAAACAAAACACATTAAACACAGAGCCAGACAACATCAAGCTAAAATACATTTAAAGGGCCCAGATGATACATTTCTCTTGATTCACATTTTCACTAAAAACTTTTGTTGATTATGATATAGTTATATTTGTGTGATTTTTTTTTAACTCAAACCAGTCATAATTATTTTTTTTTGCAGGACCATTTTTCAACCTCTCTTCAATCCCCAAGAAGCTGATTTTGTTTTGTAAAAGATCTGTCATGATTGGCTGGTTCGTACTCCACCTCCAAAAAAAAAACTGTCCAGGCTTAAGAGCAAATGAGAGGGATTAGACTGTTGTAGGCTGAGTAGAACTTAGTTTGTAACATGTTCTCAAAAGGTCTCAAATAACGGTCTTTAATGGCACTACAAATGAACTGCTGGAGACAAGTTCTTACCTTCATTTGCTCCTTTCCGTAGCTGTTTGTAGTTTGCTGCTTGCTGCACAAGATCCAGAATAGTTTTGCTTAGCGTGGCATCAGCCAAAGGGTAGGCTTTGGGATTCACTTCTGCTTCTGTCTGAGATAAAGACAAACAAAATGAGGAGCAAAGCAGAGTGAGGGATCATAATCCACTGTTACCAACACTGTATAATAATGTTTAAGTAGTAAACTAGAGCTAAAGCCACCTTCCTTTTACACTGATTTCACAAACAAGAAGCCTGCGATAATTATTTAAGCTCATGTTTTTTTCTTCCATTATAGCGGGCATAAACGTGGATCACTGAGCCCGGTATTTGTGTCAGTGATTCATTCATTCAGTCAGTTAGATTACATTCTTCCATATAAGCTGATTAACATACTTACTGTTTAATTAACGTTACTCACCATTGTTTCGGGAAATCTTCAAGTCCTCTCGGCGAGTGCTTCACGGAGGACCAGCTTAAGCTAAATATACCAAAAAGAAACAAAATCGCGATTATATAGAACAATTTAAGGTAGACGCGCAGGACTCACGTTACCGCCGCGTGCAACACGTGTTCTGGTAAAGCGGTCCTGTGCATGCGCACGCCAGAGGAGCCTAGTCAGAGAACTTGTAGAGAAGGAGAGGGAGCTAGAGGGAGCTCCCGAGCGAGTCCCAAATGAATGGGTTGATATGGAGCATTTGAGCAAAATCATAGTTTATAAATGCTTAAACGTTTTTAATGTAAAAGAATACAGTCACTTCCTGAACAATGAATAGCATAAAACATTTTAACACTGCTGCTATATTTTTAAGAGCTTTGAAACTCGAGCTATAGGATTTTAAAACGGCACCTCGTGCATGTCTGGTCTAGTCACTTCCTATTAATCCAGTTATATCAAAAACATTACTTCATAGCGCCAGAGGGCGCCCACGAGCGAGTCCTCAACGAATAGGAGTGAACGGTGCTAAAGGGCTAAAAATGAAAAGTTAAAATAGTTTCTAACCACTTGTCCAGGACCTTCCTTTAATTTTAGTATTTTTTGTATTTTCCTTTTTTGGCAGTAGAGCGCTAGCGTGCTACTGAGTGCTGATTGATTGGCATTACAGCTACTGAGTGCTGATTGGTTGGCATTACAGCTACTAAGGGCTGATTGGTTAGTATTACTGCTACTCAGTGCTGATTGCTTGGCACTAATCTTACTGCATGCTGATTGTTTGGCATTTGTGTTACTGTGTACTGATTGGTTGACACTACTGCTAATGAGTGCTGACTGGTTGTTATTACTGTTACTAAGTGTTGATTGGTTGGTGATACTGGTACTGAGTGCTGATTGGTTGGCGAGCTGACTGAGTAAAGCGGTTAGCGTTCACTGACTTCAAGAACGTACATGAGGCACGCTTTCAAAGGCAGCGCTCATTTTTGACTTAGCCTTACGTGATGATCAAAGTGAACTACCGATAACAGCAGAATGGGGTATAAAAACACTGTCGTCAAGTCTGACACATTCTACTTTCCTTAGCATGAGCTCACAACAATGGCTGATCTTGCGCCGTTTGCCTTTTTTGTTGCAGACGAAGTGCTTGAAATAAATGCTGGGCATAAAAACAATAGTTTATGGTGGCCATATGTAAAAAATGAGCTGCCAGAAGGAGGAAGTCCCCTTTTGAGAGAGATAACCATAGGACATAACGGATTTGAAGTTCTCAAAAAATAAAAGTAACATACGTTACACACATTTTAGGCTTGCCAGCCAACCAGATCGATGCTCTGACGTCACGAAGGCGTGTTGTAGCTCGTGCAGCGGATTTAGAGCAACTGCGGCTACCTTGCTCTCGCGAAATTTTGATGTCATGCTGTGAAAATGTTGACAACCTGCAAAGCCGGACAAAATTTATAACCAGCGTGCTGAGGCTAAGGGCCACATTTAGTCGATCATCACTGTACCCTCTATTTAAAAATCTGGATCGCAAAAAAGAAACACTATTACAGAGAACAGACTTTGTGATGGTACCAAACAATTTCGGATACTATGTCATTGCTTATTACTCTGCGACAGCAGATTCCGTAGTAGAAACACAATAAACGTCATGTCACCAATCCAGTATAACCGCTGGGTTTGCACACATGAGAAGAGCTTATAAGTCTGAGAAAGGTCTGTGGAGATGCTATTGTGCTGGGCTCGCTAATTCCACTCAAAGAAGTTGTGTGTGAATCTTCAAATCGAACAACGCAGTGCATTACGGATATCCCCTGTCCACTAGGGTAGTACGCTGCCTATTGCGGTGTACTGTGGGATTGTTTGAGTGCACTGGATCTTCTGCACTGTTTTTCTGAAACTACTGCACTATGTTTTCAGATTTTGCTTAAATGCTCCATTTTAACCCATTAGTTTTGTAATCGGGAGCGCCCTCTAGCGTTTGACAAACCCCGGTTTTTAAACACTAGTTTAAAAGCTCTTAAAAATATAACAGCCAAAAAAAAGTGTTTATATGAATTTCTTTTCCCCACCACCCACCAACCGGGTTCCTCTCCGCTTCAGCAGGGGGCAGTGTGCGGGTAAAGTGAACTGTTACGGGAGGAGCGCAGAGAAACGTGGTCGCTTGTGGGTAGGACGTCCAGGTCAGACATATATGCTCTCGGCTCTTGTTGAAGGAGAGAGAGAACATGAAGGGGATTCGGGGAATAGGTCACTTGTCGGTGAGGACCTCTTTTTTTATAAATGTGTTGTTGAAGAGTTAGTTCTTGATAGCATTTCGAGCTCACAGCAATGTGACTAACGTATACAGGAAGAGTCCTTTGTGAGCGCTAACATGGATGAGCTGCAGCGTCTTTGATAAGAGCCATTACATCCGTACCTTTACTTAAATTAATCAAACAGAATCATTTCCCTCTTATCCCAGTCACGACATGAATGCTGTCTGGCATTGGCATCTTTAGTTGTACGAGCTATGATCAAATTTTCCCGTTTCACCTTAAATGGTGCCGCAGTTCCATTCTAGCACCTCTGCCTCAGAATGCTCAGAATGGAACTGCTGCACCATTTAAGGTGGAACGGGAAAATTCGAACATGAAGCTGGTGAAAATAAAGCCAGCTTCAGCTTCCTAATATAATAGAAGTCTGTCACCCATTGACAGAGACTTGTTAGCTAAGCACTGTCACTCTAGTGCAAAACTAAAGAGAAGTTAACTTTATGCACCAGTCATGTTCATTTCTCTGGGCTTTAGAAAGTATGCGGCTTGATTTAAAGTGCCTGTGAATACATTTCTAATAACACTAATAATCTTTATTCCCCATTGTGGAGTTTGCCCAAAATCACACATAACACTTTTTTTTTAAACTATGTAAATTGTTGACTCATGACTGTTTATATGAACTGACTCAGTTAAGTAAACCTCTTTGTATCTACCCTCTTTATCTGTTTTATCAACTTCACTTACCATATAGGTGCACTGTGTAGTTCTATAATTCCAGACCGTAGTCTATCTGTTGTGCTGAGAATGATCTACCACCCAAATAATACCTGCTCTGTGGTGGTCCTGACATTTTTCGGAAACAACGGTACGGGCATGTTTGCTTTAAACTGGCCATATCATACATTTTTCTTGTGTTTAATTTTAATAACATTTGTGTGGTTATGTGTACCAAAATGGTCATAATTCATTTTTTATGACCATTTCCCAACTTTTCTTTATTACTTGCAGTTAAACAGTTTCTGTTACTGCACCTTCAAGACTAATCTCTGTTCTGATTGGATGTCCTGTATTCATTTAGAAAGGCTCATGGCTGAAATACTCATACATTCTCAGCACTGCAGTAACACTGACGTGGTGGTGGTGTGTTAGTGTGTGTTCTGCTGGTACGAGTGGATCAGACACAACAGTGCTGCTGGAGTTTTTAAACACTGTGTCCACTCACTGTCCACTCTATTAGACACTCCTACTTTGTCAGTCCACCTTGTAGATGTAAAGTCAGAGACGATAGCTCATCTGCTGCTGCACAGTTTGTGTTGGTCATCTTCTAGTCCTTCATCAGTGATCACAGGATGCTGCCCACAGGATGCTGTTGGCTGGATATTTTTGGTTGGTGGACTATTCTCAGTCCAGCAGTGACACTGAGGTGTTTACAAACTCAGCAGTGCTGAGAATGATCCACCACCCAAATAGTACCTGCTCTGTGAGGGTCCATGGGGGTCCTGACCACTGAAGAACAGGGTAAAAGTGGGGCTAACAAAGTATGCAGAGAAACAGATGGATGACAGTCTGTAATTGTAGATCTACAAAGTGCACCTATGTAGTAAGTGGAGCTGATAAAATGGACAATGAGCATAGAAACAAGGAGGTGGTCATAATGTTATGCCTGATCGGTGTATATTAAAATTGTGTTTTTTTAAGAATTGTTTGTAAACTTTTCTTATTTAGCTTTTTATTTAAGTTCTACCTCTGTATTGTTCATATTATTTTTTAAATATATTAATTATGAATCAATATGACCATATATGAGTTATTAATGAATTTTATACACACACACACACACACACACACATATATATATATATATATATATATATATATGTGTGTGTATATATACATATATATATACATATATGTGTGTGTGTGTGTGTATATATATATATATATATATATATAATTACATTTCGCATTAGGATTTTAAGTGCATACGCTTAACTTACTTAAATTTTATGTTGTTTGTTACTGAACAGTAACTATAATAAAATCAAACTCAATTTCTTCTGTTGCTGTTAATCTTCATCACCTGTCTGTAAAGCACTTTGAGTTGCCACCAGTAGGAAAAGTGCTTCGTAAATAAAGTTGTTGTTGTTGTCATAATAATAATAATAATAAATATAGCCGCAAGCGACAGTGAGCGGGTCCAAGCATGCATGAGCCCATTTAGACCAAATAGGCACCCATGGTGAAAAGCACAGTATGCCAAACAAATTTAAGCCAAAATACCCAACAATGACTGAAATATCTGACATAACATGTAATAACAAAGTTGTTCAGCTCAGTCAACTGCATCAAAAGGCACCATGTGTTTATCTGTAGACTATGTAACAACCTTGTAATATATTGCATTTTTGCTTTTTTTGTGTTTTTGAGTGCTAATGCGCCCCCTAAAGGCCAATCTGGACCAAATGTTGCAAACCCCATCTGGGTCTGGGTCTACCTAGAGACACCAGAGAGTATTTCTAGACCAATTTTTAAAAATTTGGATCAAAATCCAGAGACTAGTTCGAAAAGTATGGTTTTCAAACAGTTAAAAATTACCAAAAAGCTATGCTTTTTATGTAATTGCAAATTGATTTGGCACACTGTTCTACATTTGATTCATATAGATTTTGGGTCAAAATTGTAATTATGTCTTAATAACATGTTATAATTAAGTGATTTCCATGACTAGCGCAGTGGCCAAATCTGTTGAAACTTCACTGGTTGTTAGAAAGTGGCTATATAGAGACACCATTCAAGTTTCATGATGATTGGTCAATGGTATGCCTGTCAAAAGCCTACTGAATGCTGATTGGCTAATGGCGGCCCTAAATTTCACTGTATCAAATTTTCCTTAGAGAATTTATTTATACTTTGTCTAGTAGATGCTGCCTGCCAAGTTTCAGCTTGATCGGATGCACGGATGCTGAGAAACAGTTAATTGGCAATTACACCACCCCCAATTGACATGCCCAACAAAATTGAATTGCTTCCACAGAATATTGTCTTGAATAAGCCTGTGATGTTTCAATGTTTTTGGCTGAAGCGTTCTTGAGTTATAGAGTGTTAAATGAATTTTGAATTTTGTCAAGGAATAATTAGGATATGGCAGCCATATTGTTTATAAAAGTCAAGATGTTTGTGATGAATATTCATAAACAGACTCTCCTGTTTTTCATGATACCAGAATCATAAGGATGGAGTGAAAAACCTAGGACTAGTTTGCAAAAGTAGGTTTTGCATATTATGCAAATTAGCAATAAATCTTAGTGGGCGGAACTAAAAATGTTGTTTGGCTTGACCCAAGGAATCAGCTACAAAAAGAATTTTGTCTGTACACATCTTGGTTTAGGAGTTATGAAGCAAAACGTGTTTTGCTGCTCTGTTGCACGCCCCCTTTGGCCAGTTGGGGTAATTTTTGTTGCTACACCTACCCACCAAGTTTGGTGTCTCTAGGACTTACGGTCTCTGCTTCACAACATGTTTTTTAGGAGAAAAAGAATAATAAGAAAAATTTTAGCAACAGCAATAGGGTCCTACGCACATGTGTGCTTGGACCCTAATACTACTACTTTCTAGGCAGAGGGGCTGAAAAGAAGTCTGAGTTTATCAACAGGCCTTCATTTATCATGAAAAATGACACGTTTACATTTCAATTTACTGATCTACAAATGTTTGTAGAACATGCAAAAGATTATCAACATAGACGTCAAAAATACATGAGTAATGGTAAAATATCTGTCTTAGTTATGTTTGCAAACTATATTGTTTCTCCATGTTAAAGCCTTTGATAAGCATGACATAATGAGACCCACTGCACTCATAAGGGCCCTTTTGACATAGAGGAGCTAAGTGAAAGTGGGTCAGAATTGGTCCAAAGGTCTCCACATGAAAATTGATCAGGGACGTTCATCAAAGATGTTCACCGAATTTGTTCAGATTGACCTTTTGACCTTGGTATAATAAGCTGTAGTCTTTAAATGAATAATTCAAAATACCAGAGAAGGAGACCAATTTATGACATAATAACTTTGTAATTACATGTTCAGATTAATGGACTGAATCAAAGGACACCTCTTATTTATCTGTAGACTTTGTAGTATCGTTGTAATAACATTTTTAAAGATTTTAGGTGTTTTTCAGTGCTAAATCGCCCCTATTGGCCAATCAGGATCAAATTCCAAACCACATCAGAGTCTCAATTTATAGACATCTTTAAAATTTTAAGATGATCGGACCAATGACTGATGAGCTATAGCAATTTAAGCTAGCAGTGCCGTGGCTGCAATGATTCAATGCTGAAGCGAGACCACAATGAGCAAAAAATTTAAAATGTGCTGGATAATTATTTACCTAGAGAGGCTACAGAGTATTTCTAGACCAGTTTTGAGAAATTAGCTTCAAATTCCATGGACTAGTTCAAAAAGTGCTATTTTCAAACAATTAACGATTGAAAAAAACTATGCACTTTTTAAATACACCTATGATGACAAAATTGTTTGGAACACTGCACTGCATGATGTCATCTACGTTGTTTGACCAAAAATGAAAATCTGTACAAGATGGGTGAAGGATTCTTGAGTTATAGATTTTTTAATTAAATAAGAATTATTTTGATTTTTCTAGAAGGATTAATTAGCATATGGCAGCCATATTATTTACAAAACTAAAAATGTGCTGGATAATTATTGGGGTTGAGGCTATGCTGAATTCTTTGACACCAGAAACATGAGGATAGGATGAAAACTATAGGACTAGTTCTCAAAAGTAATTTTTGCATATTATGCAAATTAGCTCAAAATCTAAGTAGGCAGAGTCCAAATTACAAAGTTGTTTTGTTGGATGCAAGGAATCAGGAAAAAAATGAAAAAAATCTGGGTGAGGAGTTATATAGGCTCAAACGTGTTGTGTTGCGCAAAATCGCCCCCTATAGGCCAATTGGGCTCATGTCGTGCGCCTGAGTAGCGGGAGGGACTACTACCTATTGACCAAGTTTCATGTCTCTAGGACTTACGGTTTGGTCTGGGTGATTCGTTTTATCGGACAGAAGGAATAATAATAAGAAGGAAAAACTCTAACAATAACAATAGGGTCCTAAGCACTATGTGCTTGGACCCTAATTAGTAGTAGTAGTAGTAATATATTATTATTTTTTTTTATTATTATTATTAGTAGTAGTAGTAGTGTTATTGTGTCAGTTAACAGCAGGAATAAATGTTCAGCTGTCCAGTCTTTGCCTCTTCTTCATTGTATCTTCTATTTTCAAAGGCGTTATTAGTGCTGAGGCATAACTGCGGCCTGATGCTGCCTCTTCCTTTTCTGATTTTCAGAGGAGGCTTTATGCAGCCCAGGCTGCCCATAAGGTGGAGGTCGCAGAGGCGGTTAAGTTTCTGCCGCAGGAGGTTCAGGTCAGTGGATGTTGACTTTTCTTTCTCTCCACAGAGACGGGCCTATGTGGCTCAACAAAGCCACCCACACTTGACTGAGCCTTTGTCGGGCCTTAAGGTGTCCACGGGTGTCTGCCACACGTACCAGGATGTACATGTATGTGCGTGTCTGTATGTCAGATTGATGAAAAAGTAGCTACTAACAGTACCACTTTTCCTTGCAGTGTGTAGTAATACAATATTTTGAATATGTGAGTTTCAGAGTCACTCTGCTTTTATCTCTCTAGGTGAGTTAATTTGCAAAATGGAGGCCAGTTTGTAAGTTTATTTTGCATCACACTAACCGCAGCTAAGGTGGGCCACATGGCAAAAATACAACATCATGATACTTGAAAATACACACTATAGTCATATGCCAAAGGTTTACCATGCCTGGTCAAATTACATGTTTTATTGATTTTCTAAGTGAAAATAAGTTAACACATCCTTTATAGAGAACAATTTAAATATGTTTATTTTTCTGCAAAATTGTAATGCACAAGTTATATTTATTTGCATAGTTTAAAGCTACTCTATAAGATGTGTCATTGAAATTGAAAGAAGTGTCAGACTCAGGAGACAAACAAGCATGCTAAAATGTAGTTGAGTCTCCCTGCAAAGCCTTAAAAAGTAAGGAGAAACATCAAAGGAGTTGAATGTTATGGGTATTTTTGAACCATATCATAAGTCTCTATTAACCTCATGTACACAGACTCAAAAAGAAAGTCTGGCTTGACGTTGAGGTCTGAAATGCAAAATCAACATTATACTGATGAAGACATGATGACTATAGTAGATAACAGTAAATTAAAGTGCAAGAAGGCTTTGTGCAAGATAATGTGCAAAAATGTAACTGTAAATAGCAGCCTCTGCCCCAGCATTGGGGGCTGTTAAGTTGCAGAAATTATAACTTTGCAAGTCAAAAACAAACTGTGTAATAAGTTTGCTTAAAGTGACATTTGAGTACTAAAAGTCCATCCTATATAAAAGTCTTGCTGGGTCCGGAAGTGCAAAGGTTCAAATAAGGCATCAAATGTAAAAAAAATAACTTCTTCCAGTCCAATTCAAAATAACTTCCAGTTCAAAATAACCATTAGCAGTGCAGGAACGTGAGCATATTGACGTGCTCTGGAGCGAGGCTGGCTTTCTTCTTTGAGGTGATGTTCCCACGCGTTAGCTAACATAACTGAAATAGCATAACTGAAAAATTGGCGCAGGGTCTATTCTCTGAACACCGCTGCTCTTTATTGCAGCGTCTGGGACTCTTCCGCCAGAGCTGGTTTATGAGGAGTTCTCAATGATTGGGAGTAAATGGAGCTCAACAGCTTAAAACGAAAAGTTAAAATAGTTTCTAATCACTTGCGCAGAACTATCTTTTAATTTTAGAAAATAGTGAGATGTATTTCACTAAAAAAAGCAAAGAAAACTTACCTATATATTTCCTTTTTCTACAGCAAATGGGTTTTGGGCAGCAGAATGCTGGCATTACTGCTAGTGAGTGCTGATTGGTTCATGAACGGAGCACCTGGCTGTTCGCACTCACAGACATCATGGACGTACATGAGGCGCCGTTTTAAACTCCTATAACTTGAGTTTAAAGCTCTTAAAATGATTACAGCAGTATGTTTTATGCTATTCAGTGTTCAGGAACTGAATGTATCCTTTTACATTAAAAATGTTTAAGCATTTATAAACTATGATTTTGCTCAAATGCTCCATCTTAACCCATTCATTTTGGACTCGCTCGGGAGCTCCCTCTAGCATTTGAGAAACCCTGTAGACATTACAGAGTGGTAATTTTTCTCTCTACAAGTTCTCTGCTTCCGCTTTGCACGCGCAGCCTGTGTGAAAGCCGTGACCAGTTAACATGGGCTACAAAGTGAAAAGCAAGACTTTCCGTGTCGCTCAAGCCACACAGACGCAGAATTTGTGAACATCACAGCTGCAGGGTGCTTGTGTTTCAGATGCTCATGCATCATCATAGTTCTGCCGAAATTACAACTCTGCTTTTACAGTGCCTGCATTCATGGTTTATTTTCGCTGAAATGCTCCCATACTTTTTTTTTAAAGTTTTGGTCTCGCTTTTTTTGCTTCGCCTTCTTCAGAGTCTCTAAGCTGCGCCATAATTCAATATGTTCTTCATTAGTACAGAATGCAGTCATGCCAATGGAAGCGATACTGCCCCCAGTACTTCCTGTAGTGCGTTGCAGTTACAAATTATTGACGTGTCAACACTGAAATTCTAAGTCAACAAATTTTTATAATCAGTGTTATTGATTATGTCGACTAATCGTTGCAGCCCTACTCTACATTAGTGGCTGTGCTCTGACAGGATATTTTTTAGCACGGGGAGATTCTCAATGGTTCTATGATAATGCATGCTGGGTATTGTAGTGACAAAACGCTGATAGATGAAAATGATACCAAAGTGTGTATTCTGTTATGCACTACAGAATACTACGAATACAAAGACATCAAAATGCTCCTATGCATATGAAGCATATGAAAAGACAGAGATATAGTTCAGCATTTGCAAAAATAAACTATGTAAAATGAACATGAGGAAAAAAACTAAACAATAGGTGGACAATACATTAATCAAATATGATGATGTCCTGACGCCCAATCAGCTAGTTGTTATAGCGCAGTTTACGCGGGTAAACATTCATACATTGGTTGTTGTTATTACCTCTCTATAATTGGCCTTTTTTAATAATACATACAGTTAGCTGTGGAACTTGTTTTATGGTTGTAGACTAACAACCCTATAAATAAATGCCTCCGTTATAAGAGCAGCTCACACTAATAGTTAAATTTCACCCTTTTCAGGTGACCAAATTGTCGAGCGGGTTGGTGATTGCTTCACTGGAAAATTATTCCCCTGCCTCTCGTATTGGTGTGCTTGTGAGGGCTGGCAGTCGCTATGAAACTATGGACAGCCTGGGTGTCACACACTTGCTTCGACTGGCAAGTGGTCTGGTAAGTAGTGATGGCGGCAGTAAATCAACATGCTTTGAATGCACTTGAGTTTAATGACTCTCTTAATGCTCACTTGTTCACATGCTGCTATTTCCAGACTACCAAAGGAGCCTCTGCTTTCAGGATCTGCCGTGGGATTGAGGCCGTGGGAGGAAATCTGGGGTTCGTGAGCCTGAACATCAATAATTATCAAAAACATCTTGACTTTTATAAACAGAATGGCTGCCCTATGCTAATTAACATAGCTTATGACATAATTCAAAATTCTAGCTCTATAACTCGAGAATGCTTCAGCCAAAAACATGGAAACTTGACAGACACATTCAGAAGAAGATTCTATGGTGAACTATCAATGTTGGTGGGCATAAGTCATTAGGGGGATTGGTAATTGCCAGTTAACTGTTTCTCAGCATCTGTGCATCCGATCAAGCTGAAACTTGGCAGGCAGCATCTACTGGACATAGTATAAGTGTCTATGGACAATTTGTTACATTGAAATTTAGGGCCGCCATCAGCCAATCAGCATTAAGTAGGCTTTTGACAGGCTTAACACTGACCAATCATCATGAAACTTGAGTGATGTCTTTAGGTAGCCACTTTCTAACAACCAGTGAAGTTTTAACAGATTTGGCCACTGGGGGACGCTAGTCATGAAATTCAATTAATTATTACATGTTATTAAGACCCAAAATCTATATTAATCAAATGTAGAACAGTGTGACAAACAAATTTGCAATTACAATTTTATTATAAAAATGCATAGTTTTTTTTTGTAATCTTTAACTGTTTGAAAACCATACTTTTTGAACTAGTCTCTGGATTTTGATCCAAACTTTTCGAAATTGGTCTAGAAATACTCTCTGGCGTCTCTAGGTAAATAATCATCAAAAAATGTTGAATTTTTCACTCATCATGATGTTGCTCTATCAGTTTATCACTGCGGCCATGGCATTGCTAGCTTGATTTGCTATAAGTCATCAGTCTTTGGTCCTGTCATCTCAAAACTTCTGGTGTTTGTATAAATTGAGACTCAGATGGGGTTTGCAACATTTGGTCCAGATTGGCCTTTAGGGGGCACATTACACTCAAAAAAACTCAAAAATCAGCAAAAATGCTATTACAAGGTTGTTACAAAGTCTACAGCTAAACAAGTGGTGCCATTTGATTCAGTTGACTGACCTGAATAACTTTGTAATTATGTGTTATGTCAGAAATTTCACTCGTTGTCTGGTATTTTGGCTTAAGTTTGTTTGGCACACTGTGCTTTTCACCATGGTTGCCTATTTGGTCTAATTGGGCTGATGTATGCTTGGACTCGCTCGTTGCCGCTTGTGGCTATATTTGCTCTTGTGATTTTAAACCAATTATTTAAACCAATAATTAATAATCTTTTAGCTTTAGACAGAAACTCTAACTGAACATGCTTTATGAGACAGTCCCCTTTATAAAGCCAGTCAACTGCCGTTCCATTAGAATATTGGTGTTTGTTGTGGAATGTTGGCTCAGTGTGCTGTGGCCTTATATCTGTGGCATATTTTTTATACAGTGTGACTACAACCCGGGAAACCATGTTGTACACTGTGGACTGTTTGAGAGATCATATGTAAGTAGGATGTGAAAAATGTCCTTTATTTGGCATTTTTATTTGGCAAAGTGTGTGCTTTTTCCTCCCATTAAGGTTTCATTATATGTGTTTGATTGTAGTGACACGGTTATGGAGTATCTGATCAATGTGACCACTGCACCAGAGTTTCGGCCATGGGAGCTGTCTGAACTCACTCCCAGGGTGAAAGTGGACAATGCCATCGCCAACCAGAGCCCGCAGATTGGTGCGTTTTCATTAGCATAAGCTTTCTTGGATTCTCATCATTGGTGCTAGCTTGTGCACTTGATCTTATTGTCACTCTGTTCCTCCAAAGGTGTCCTTGAGAATCTGCATGCTGCTGCTTACAAGAATGCCCTCTCCAACTCCTTGTACTGTCCAGACTACATGGTTGGCAAAATCACCACAGACCAGGTAAGACCCAAAGCCGTAATGGATGTGGATGTACAGTTATTTGGTAGTCTTTAACTGATTATCTTTTTGTAATTTTTTTTTCACAGATGCACACCTTTGTTCAAAACAATTTTACAAGTGGAAGAATGGCTCTTGTTGGGCTTGGTATGTCATTGTATTGTATTTGTATTTTCACATTGCCCTAGACCTGATTAGGGCTGTTGATTTACTGATTAAAAAAAAACATCAATTAATTATTCTTATATTAATCTTAATTTTAATTAATCTTAATTTCAATTCATCTTGATGAATCAGTTGTATTGATTAGTTTATAATCATAGACATGGTAGCTGCAGGTCATTGTAAAGTCATACTTTACATTTTGTTCACTGTTATTGCTTTTGGGTGGGTCACAAAAAGATAAAACCCACACCAGCAGAATCTCGCAAATGCACATATGTTTCTACTTATCAATTGCATGTTTACCGGTTTCCTCTTACAGTCCAAAGACTTGAAGTCAGGCCAATTGGAGATACTAAATTGCCCCTAGGGGTGTGTGTGTGTGTGTGCATTAACATTATGAAAGCAGTGGTGCTCAGGCTACTTCTATAAAGTGAAGGTTTCTGCAGTCAACAGTGCTAAAAAAAAAAATAAAATAAAGGCACGGCAATGACAAGCCATGACTGGCTTGTTTTTTTTTAGTATGTCATTCAAATGACTTTTTATTTTTTAATTTTAGGTAAGTTTTTATCTTTTGCAGCTAAGTATTTTGGAATCAGTGAAATGTTACGTGCTGTTTGGGGAAAAAATGACAATTTGTTAATCATCAAAATAATCAGGAGATGATAATATGAATAATATAGTCTATAGTGATTGTTCTAGACCTGATCTGTTCTTAATTAGAAAGCTCCGTAAATCATGAAAGCATATTTGCCAAGAGTCGGTGTGTCATCTGGCACTTTATTCCTTAAAAAAAGTGTCTACTGGGTGTGTGGATTAAACAATAACATCTTTTTTTTTTGTTTGTTTGTTTTGTTTTGTTGTACAGGTGTGGACCATGTCATCCTCAAGCAAGTAGGAGAGCAGTTCCTTAATATTCGTAGTGGAACAGGCACTGTTGGGTCAAAAGCTGTGTACCATGGAGGTAATACTTCATCAAACCCAGAATATTTCCCTCTCTGTACTAATACAGAACGTTTTTTCATATTGAGACAGTGTTATCACGTCCAAAAGGTTACTTGTTTGTGGTAGTTCTCTTCTCTGTCGTAATCATTATCTAGATTTGTATTTCTTTGCAGTATTTCTAAGCAATGTTCCACCCATTTCTATATGAAAAGGGCTCACTGAGTGGTGGTGTGGGAGCTCAAGAGTAGGTGGTGCTAATAGAAAATGAGGGGGTATCAGAGCCAAAAAAAAACTAAGCATGACAGTTACTCAGCGACGGCCAAGAGCTGCCTGTATCCCAGAACATGTTTTACTGCAGCTTTCATTCTAACACCGGTCACTCAGATATCCTCTAAGTGAGTGTCATTTTAGGATCAGTTAGCTGGAACCAAGCCTGTGCTGTGATGTTTGGCCTGCTAACTAAACCCTCATTAGCTTAGTCAAAATCATACAGTCCTAGACACCACAGAACAGGTTTGGTTTCTGTCATTTTAACACCAGTCACCCGACTTTAAAATCATCTACACCTGTCAGCGGCAATTCAGAATCAAACTTGCGCTGTTTGGGTCTGTAGCTTGTTAAGCTAAAGTACAGATCCAAACACAGTGACAGTTGCTTGACCATCTCAGATTCTTTATCCTCAAAGCTTTTGTCAGTACTTGAGTTTGTAAGAAAGACGTTCTGTGGTGAGCAGAGCTGTTATCATGCTAACTATGCAATCATTAAACTCATCAGATTCATCTGCTTGGTGAGTCCGAAGCACTACCGATGTTGCAACATGTTTTTCTGTACATTGGAGGCAATTACACCTTTCCACCAGAGAGGTCTTCAAATTCTCAAAACTTGCGTATAGTGGTGTGAAAAAGTGTGGAAAAGGTTATAAAGCCATTTCTAAAGCTTTGGGACTCCAGTGAACCACAGTGAGAAATGGCGAAAACATGGAACAGTGGTGAACCTTCCCAGGAGTGGCTGGATGACCAAAATTACTCCAAGAGCGCAGCGACAACTCAACCAAGAGGTCACAAAAGACCCCACAACAACATCCGAAGAACTGCAGGGCTCACTTGCCTCAGTTAAGGTCAGTGTTCATGACTCCACCATAAGAAAGAGACTGGGCAAAAATGGCCTGCATGGCAGAGTTCCAAGAAGAAAACTACTGCTGAGCAAAAAGAACATAAAGGCTCGTCTCAGTTTTGCCAGAAAACATCTTGATGATCCCCAAGACTTTTGGGAGAATACTCTGTGGACTGACGAAACAAAAGTTGAACTTTTTGGAAGGGGTATGGCCCATTACATTTGGTGTAGAAGTAACACAGCATTTCAGAAAAGGAACATCATACCAACAGTAAAATATGGTGGTGGTAGTGTGATGGTCTGGGGCTGTTTTGCTGCTTCAGGACCTGGAAGACTTGTGGTAAAGGGAACCATGAATTCTGCTGTCTACCAAAAAATCCTGAAGGAGAATGTCCGGCCATCTGTTTGTGACCTCAAGCTGAAGCGCACTTGAGTTCTGCAGCAGGACAATGATCCAAAACACACCAGCAAGTCCACCTCTGAATGGCTTAAGAAAAACAAAATTAAGACTTTGGAGTGGCCTAGTCAAAGTCCTGATCTGAATCCAATTGAGATTCTGTGGCATGACCTTAAAAAGGCGGTTCATGCTCGGAAACCCTCCAATGTGGCTGAATTACAACAATTCTGCAAAGATGAGTGGGCCAAAATTCCTCCACAGTGCTGTAAAAGACTCATTGCCAGTTATTGCAAGCGCTTGATTGCAGTTGTTGCTGCTAAGGGTGGCCCAACAAGTTATTAGGTTTAGGGGCAATCACTTTTTCACACAGGGCCCTGTAGGTTTGGATTTCTTTTTCCCTTAATAATAAAGATCTTCATTTATAAACTGCATTTTGTGTTTACTTGTGTTATGTTCATCTAATATTTAAATTTGTTTGGCGATGTGAAGCATTTAAGTGTGACAAACATGCAAAAGAATAAGAAATCAGGAAGGGGGCAAACACTTTTTCACAACACTAGTTTAGCTTTTATAATCGTAAGGCTTATTATTCAGTAAGCACTACAAAGCTACTAAGTTATATAGTTGTGAGAGTACTGATTTGTGGGTGCACATACAGACCGTTTAAGGGGTTAATTAGAACAAATTACTACTGTACATGAATTATGTGGTGAATCTGTAATGTAAATCCTCTGGTGGCATGTGCTACATGCAGGTGAGCTGCGGAATCAGACAGGAGACAGCTTGGTACATGCGGTTGTGGTGGCTGAGAGTGCAGTGGCCAGCTCAGCTGAGGCCATGGCTTTCAGTGTGCTGCAGCACGTGCTGGGAGCAGGGCCGCGTGTCAAGAGAGGCTCCAGTTCCACCAGCAAACTGGATCAGGCCATCTCTAAGGCTATAGCTCAGCCCTTTGATGTAAGTGAAGTCTTCTACCTTCAGATACTCTGCTATCTTTTGAATGAACAACCTTCATGAGTGAAAGTGACTGGGTTAGTAATATGTAGGAGTGGAAAAATGTGCCGTGAATTGTTCTGAAAGTGCTGATTGCATTGATTTAGGAAAGCTATAATAGATTATAACCTTTTCTAATAATAATTCATATATTCTCTGTGTGTGTGTATGTGTCTGAATAGTAACAAATTGTGGAAAAAAGTTTGATTTTTTGATGCATTTAATAATTTTTTTAAGATTCATTATCAAATCAACTCATTTTGAGCTCAGTGATATAAATTTTTAGTATCAACTTGAAATCAGCCTGGCCCGCTCTCATGAGTTCTTGAGTCACCACCTGAAGAAACTTCAGTTTCGATGAAATAGAGTTTTGGCATCAATTTGTATGAAATTTTCAATTCGTCATGCTGGATAAGTACTAGGCTACCTCTCAAAATCATAAAAAACGCATCAAAAGAGCTCTTTTAATTCCCTTAATATATAGCCATTATAACATAACACATTTGTGTTTGTTTATAGCCGCTGTAAAGGTTTTCTCAGTTTTGACATTTGATCAGTATTGTCTCTTTTACTCATCTACAGGCTTCTGCATTCAATGCCAGTTACTCTGACTCAGGACTCTTTGGTGTATACACCATCTCACAGGCTGATGCAACTGGAGAGGTAAGGCAGATGTACAACGCTGTCAAATAACAATTATCTTCTGACGAAGCCTGATAACTTTCTTACTCGCTTGTTGGAATGGAGATAGAATAAAGTGACCATTTGTGACTTACCTTTTCTTCCTTGTTTCTATTCCTCAGGTGATCAAGGCTGCTGTTGGCCAAGTTGGTGCCATCGCACAAGGAAACCTTGCTGCATCTGACCTCAGTAGAGCCAAGTGAGTACCTCTTTAGCCCTGTTCAGACAGGATTAATTTAAAATGGGGTGCTGGGGTAATTTCTATGTTTACAGGTGCTCCTTTTTGATTTTGACCTCCATATCAGCTATGTCAGTGTTTTTCCACCTCCTCTTCTGTTTTATGCCTAAGTCAGTGGTGCTCTGATAAGTGTAGTCCTTTCCAAACGCACATTTCTGTGATTTTGAGTGCTGCTACTTGCCGTGTTTAGTCTTCTAGCATGCATATCTTAAACTTTTTTCTGATTTGTGAAACTTTGGAAGACTTTCAACCATTTGCTTGATCTGATTGGTAGAACTTAGTCTCCATCCTCTCTATACTGGGGCTGTCGTATGCATGTAAACATAATTACTGATCAATTTGAATGTGAACAGGATTTGAACAGGACCTCAGAACCTATGAATTTGTTTGTGTGTGTCTAGAACCCAGTTGAAGGCTGAGTATCTGATGTCTATTGAGAATTCAGAAAGCCTGTTGGAAGCTATTGGGACACAAGCATTGACTGAGGGCACCTACCATTCCCTGGAGGCAATTACCCAAAAAATTGATGCAGTGTCTTCAAATGATGTTGTCAATGTAAGCCACAGCTCAGAACTGAATTTAGCTAAGGATTCTACTGTAACGTGTCATTTTTCTTTATTTCAGTTGCTTTATTTAAAAAAAAACCAAACCAAAACAAATTTATTTCTTTTCTTCAGGCGGCAAAAAAGTTCATGTCTGGCAAGAAGTCGATGGCCGCCAGTGGACATCTGGTTACCACACCATTTCTAGATGAAATCTGATTGACCACCACTGCTCTTCTAAATTAATTTAATTACAAATCATGTCTGAAGCTTTATTCAAAGAAGACCCAAGAAGTGGTCATGACTCCAGTTCCAGCACCCTTGCTGTCCAGAGTAAATGTTCGGTGTTGAGACATTGTTTTATGAAGTGGAGAAACATGACATAGAAGAAGGACTCCATTTAAAATGTGTAGCACATTTAAACTAATAAACTGTATATGTTCCAAGAAGTGAAAGAAAGTGTGAAGCGTTTATCCAAGTGAGCAGTATGCATCTTCAAACAAGGGCACAAATTAATGTGATTGCTTGATTTACTCCCCTTAAGGGCAACACTGCACAATATAAGGGTTCAAGAGCCCAATATGGCCTTCCAATAAACTCCTTTCACATGCGCTGGTTCTATAATAAACAGATGTAAAGGGAAAAAAGCCAGATCCAAAGTCAGTGTAATAAGTTAATATGGATGTTGGCTATGCATTGTAAATAGTGCATGGTTGAGGAGATTGCCGTATTTTAGAGGGCTCATTTATTTGAATCTTACTACTTACTGAATTACACTTACTGGCCACCTAATTACCTAACATATATGACTGTTTCATGATCCATTTACCACTTACTTGAAACTGACCACCAATGAAGGTCTAGAGGATGACTAACACAAACTGTGCAGTAACAGATGAGCTCTTATCTCTAACTTTACGTCTACAAGGTGCCCCCCACAAGGTAGACTAATAGAGGGGGCACTACTGTATTAGGTGGAGTTTAAAATCTCCAGCAGCACTGCACAGCTCTCTGATCCACTTGTAGTAGTACAACACCTACTAACATACAACTGAAAAGGTACAAAAGTTTCTGTTGGTTCCTGGTGGTGACCAATAATTACTACTAATGGTATTGTAGTATCAGTGCAGAAGAAGAGCTATAGTCTGCCATTTTCTCTTCAAGGACAATGCTCTTTTTTGAAACAGGCAGCAAGAGAAGACAAACTACAGGGTTAAATGAAGGACAGGTCAAAAGGCAAACATAACATGATATGGGTGGACACTTCCAACACCCTAGTTTAACACCAAAAGTCACCGAAAGTAGAACTCAACTATTAACAACATCTAAACACCGCAGAGAGGCGCATGGCATTCTGGGAGTCCTCTATGTGCTCCTCTCCACTATCCCAGTTGGCCCAAACCTTAAGTCTGGCTGTGTCACCACAAAGCCTGCTCTGCAAGGGTCAGCCATCCCGGTGACCCACACAGCCTGAATAAAATCTTTGAGATGTGCAGTGTCCTGGCCTGTCTGCTCTCCCAGCCAGCACTGGTCACAGCAATGCTCATACAGTTCCACATCCATATGGTAGTGTGGCCAGCAGAACCTCTGCTGTAACTGCTTCAACGTCTTACCCATGCTGATGTGCCCCATGCCAGCCGCTTTATGCATCGCACCCCATACCATCGTCCTAGGCTGCACTGCACCAGAAGCTGCCATCTGTGTGCCCACGACAGCTCTGTGTCCTCCTGGGCACACTGGAGCTCCTCATGGCTCACAGCATCTAGTCTGGTGCTGCTGGGGTTGACAGCAGCAGCAGCATTACTCCTCTCAGCTGCCTTCAGCTCTCTCTTTCTGGGATCCACCACTAGCCACTGTAAGCAGCTTGGTTTGTCCCGCCTTCAGGCCCAGTGTTTTTCTTCCTAGGGCCAAGCATTGCCCTAGCTGCAGTGAGAAAATCCAACCTGAGTATGCATGCACCCTGTATAGGCACAAGCCAGAACTTGTGCACTCACAGGGGGCTCAGGCCCCCACCATGCTTCCTCCCTCTCACATTGACTTGGCTGGCAGTGACGGACTTCACTTGGACGGTTGTTGCTTCCCAGTTGTCAAGTGTGTTGTTTTCAGGGTAGGGGAGCATGTCTGCGGATAGCAGTAACACCGATGAGCCTGTGTCAATGAGTGCAGTGAGCTGTCTCCCATCTATGCTGCACTTGTCTCGAAGTCTGCGGAGGCAGCTGATCTCTCTGGCTGTGGTGTAGATGCTGAGGGTCATTTACTCCACTGGCAGATGTCTGTGGCATTGACCCATTCACCAGGCCGTCTCCTCCTTCAGCTCCTCCGTTGCATAGCACTGTGTTGCTTGCCTATGGTTTTTATGCTTAGGATGAGTTCTGCCCTGTCTCCTCAGCAGTGACTGCTTAAAGGCTGGCCGGTGCAGCGAGCTGCACGTGTCATCGCTCCTCCTCCGGCAGCGGTGCATTCAGAAAGTGTTCCAAAGCCAACTGTTCCTACGCAGCTTTCTTGAACACTGGGTATGCCTTTCCAACCTCTGTGCTCAGTTCCGCTGCTAGCATGCTTCTCGACTCTCTCTTTAGCCTCTGTCTCTCCAGGAGCAGCCACCCGACCAACAATGCTGTCGGAACTAGCCCAAAGCATTCCTGGAGGGCCACAGTCAACGCTGCTAGTTCACTGTGTTGTTCCGGTGGCAGATCCACCAGCACCTATAGTGCTTTCTTCTCCAGTGAAACAAAAATTCCAGAGTGGGATATAAAGCCCACATGGGTCACTGTTAAAATCTGTTGTGTTCTTGGTGGTTCTAGTAATTTTTTGTTGATATTTGATGAGCATTTTAATAAGTCACACATTAACATGAGCACACATGATACACTGAAAGACATTGTTTTATTCCTTAAACTAAGTGTAACCTCACAAACCCTTGATTTGTTTTGAAAGTGTTTTTTAAAGAGAAAAGTAGTCATTTCCAATCATCACTTTTAATCAGCTCTGGACTTCTACTCAGTGCAATAATGAAGCTGAACAATTAAAGCTGAAAAAGCCAGATGCCTCTGTAGCGATCAGGGGACAGTGGCTGCACAGGAGGCAAAAAGGCCTTTCTCAGATCTTCAACATCAAGTAGTGTTAATCCTGTGGTAATGATGTTATCGCTAGTGACAAAACCTGTTTATACAACAACTTAAGAACTGAAAGAGCACAAACATTTCTTTTAACGGCACAAACCAGCACAAACGTAGCACAAACGAATAGTAGCATTTTTATTCCATTTCTGACCGCATGGGGGGCCAGCTTCACGGAGGTCTTCTAACACCTCTGTAGTGTTGATGCAGAAGAAGACTCAGAGTCTGTCATTTTCCCTTCAAGGAAAATGCTATTTACTCATTCAGGAAAGGAACCAAACATGAGGGACAGGAGATCAAAAGGCACGCGCAACACCCTAATTTAACACCAAATGACACGAAAAAGAACAATCACAATATACCACAACTCAACTATTAAAACAACACCTAAACACTTTATTTAAGCTGAACAAGGGCTACGGAGAGGCGCACAGCATTCTGGGAGTCCTCTACATGCCCAAACCTCTAGTGTGGTGGCGACGCCACTGTATAATCCTAATGGTTCTAATGGCGTGCCTTCAGCTTGTAACTTCACTGTAATTGTAAAGCTACACAGTGCACCTACATGGTAAGTGAAGCTGATCCAGTGGACAATGAGTGTAGATATAAGATAAGAGTATTTATTTGATTGTGCCCATATTATTAACTTAATTATTCCTATATGACCACTGATTTCATGAACTGTCCTCTCAGTTCTAAGGACGTCACCGTTTATAATTTTATTATTTTTATTATTTATTTTTTGATGACGTGAAATCCCGTTTCCTTTTCTAGAGAGCGGATGTCTCGCGAGGAGTGGCTAATCTGACGCGCTTGCAATGTTTTGAGAGGAGCGTGCTGGAGACGAGCGCTGTGTCTCCTGAGCTAAGAAACGTTTAGTCCGCTTAACAAAGGGAAACAAACGGAAAGCTGTTGAAGACTCTGTGAAACGCTGAGGATATTTAAGGTGCCGGTTACGCGCTCCAGTTACCGTGAAGGGACTTTTTTGAGGTGTCAGGACGGAGCCCTTTATGCAGTGTAACGTAAGTAATTTCATGTGGTGAATTAGGGAAGGCACAGAAGATTTTACTTTGAATAACGGCGGGCCACAACAGTTAACCCCGGGTTCATAACGTTACTAAAAGACTCATTTACACCAAATGGGTTCATGTTCGCTGAGTCCCCCTGTCTGCCTATACCTCTAGCGACTGAACTGGTTTGATTAGTCCAGGATGCTGCTATGGTGAACTAAATAGCAGCCCATGAGTCTCCCCCTGAAAAGGGGGAGAGAGAATTGCATCTCTACAATTTACTGGAGGAGATAGTTGACTTCGACCGTTGCCGTGTTAAAATTATGGAAAATGGATAAACTCACCATTATTTCAGGATGTTTGTTCCTTGCTGCTGATATTTTTGCAATTGCCAGCGTCGCAAACCCAGATTGGATCAATACTGGAGAAGCAGAAGGTAAGAACCTTTTAATAAATACACTATTTTTTATAAGTTAGTCTTACGTTCACATTTCTGTATCCCACAGAATAGCATTTATATCCATCAGCCTCATAGGTTTGACAGAATTTACAATTTTGTGTCATTTTTGTTTTTTGTGCCAGTGTACTACAATACCCAGCATACATACATACATCATCTAAACCGCTTATCCTTCTGGGTTGCTGGAGCCTATCCTAGCTGTCATTGGACGGAAGGCAGGATGCACCCTGGACAGGTCGCCAGTCCATCGCAGGGCAGACAAACAGACATACACAGTCACACACACACTCACACCTAGGAGCAATTCAGCATGTCCAATCAGCCTAACTGCATGTTTTTGGACTGTGGGAGGAAACCGGAGTACCCGGAGGAAACCCAGGCAGACACGAGGAGAACAGGGAAACTCCACACAGAAATGACCCTGGTCGCCCAGCCGGGAATCGAACCCAGGCCATTCTTGCTGTGAGGCGACATCAGTACCCACTGCACCACTGTGCCGCCTGGCATGCATTACGCAAATAACCGTTAGAAATAGAAGCTGTCTGCTAGCGTAGCCACTGATGCTAATAAATCCAGTTGTTATATTTTGCTTCCTAACAGAAGCCTTCTCCATCACCAGCTAGCAGACAAAAATATATATTTCAAACAGTCCACCCTCAGGTACCCACTCCAAGCAGTTCTATTTTTCAAAAGTTCCACCCACCTTCAAGATACATCAGAAGGGGTTTTTTACAGTTTCTACACTAAAAAGTCTTAGAGAAAGGACTAGAAAGTTCTTTTTGGCTAGTGTGCCCCATTAAAATTCTTTTATATCATTTCAAAGTAAAATATTATTGAGAGGTTTGTTTATCCTTAACTGAGGCTCACTGGTGGCAAGCTTTGCTTGTGTGCATTTGTGTGCTAAAACACTTATTTCCTAGATCCTGATAAGCATACATATGTGACAGCCAAGGCCATTTAGGTACGTATCTAATTTAATGGACCATCTTGTGTTTGTAAATAAAGCACTTTACTGCACACCCTGTTGCATCATTGACCTCAGCTAAAGTAAATCGATCAATGGCGAGATAGGAGGTGGTGCTTTGCTGGGAATTCTGTGAAATGACCTCCTTTGTTCTGCACAACTACAAGCCTTACAAGCCATTTTTATCCACTAGATTCCCAAGTAGTTGTTTTTAACGGAATCAATTCACTTAAGAAGAGCATCTAAAAGTAGGTGACCATAATCAAAGTTCTGAAACACTTTATTACTCTGCAGTAAGAACTACACTGCTAGCAACATCATATAACACAGAGTCAGCGCGTGCTATTTAAAGCTAGATTTGTTACAGGACTGGATCGGCTTCATTCTTTTTTTCCTCTGATATCCAGTCCAGCATTTGTGTGTCATTACTATCATTAACCATTAAATACCCTTTAAAATTCAGCTAAGAGTCTACTTTGGATTCTTTGATCAGTACGAAATCTTCAGGTACCATTTAGCTCATCAACTAGTAAACATGGAGAAGTCCTTCAGAAGAAGCTTGGTGCTCTCAGATGAAAAAACATCCATTGTAGCAAAGAGCTAAGAACAATGCAGGAGGGTCTCTGTTAGTCTAGACCAGTGGTGAACCATGACCGTTAGTGCTAGTCCTTCATTTTGATCCATAAATGTCAAAACTCAATCAAAAAATGATAAGAAAAAAACACCTCTATGAAAATGCTAATTTCTGCTAGCACCCCTGTGTGTTTCTAGTAGCAGGTTAGCGCAAAGCTTATTAACGTTTTTGTCCATTGTACATTTAAAACGGACATCTGAAGCTTGTAAGTGTCATTCCTTGTTTAGGAGAGGTATTAGCATATTGTCACTGTCAGAACAAAACCTTGCATCTCCAAAATGGTAACATTTACAGAAGAAGGGAAAAACAGAATGGAATTCAATATAAAGATTTTTTACAAGTAATACTGGACCATTTCATTCATTCTGTTCATCATGAAAATTTAACATAAGGCAAAGGCTAACTGGACTTCTCAAATTAAGCAAAAAAATTGAAAAATGTGGGACACACCGACTGGCCACTTCATTAAAACTACCTCCTTGTTTCTACGCTCATAGTCCATTTATAGGTGCACTTTGTAGTTCTACAATTACAGACTGTAGGTCTGGAAGGTCAGTAGTCAGGACCAACACAGATATGGGTTGGGTGGTGGATCATTCTCAGCACTGACATGGTTGTAGTGTGTTAGTGTGTGTTGCGAGTGGATCAGACACAGCAGTGCTGCTGGAGTTTTTAAACACCTCAGTGTCACTGCTGGACTGAGAATAGTTCACCAACCAAGAATATCCAACTAACAGTGTCCTGTGGGCAACATCCTGTAACCACTGATGAAGGACTAGAGGATAACCAACACAAACTGTGCAGCAGCAGATGAGCTACTATCTCTGACTTTACATCTACAAGATGGACCAACTGTGTCTAAAAGAGTGCACAGTAAGTGAATACAGTGTTTAAAAGCTCAGCAGCACTTCAGCACATGCTGAGAATGATCCACCACTCAGACAATTCCCGCTCCGTGGGGGTCCTGACCATTAAAGAACAGGATGAAATGTGACTAACAAAGTATGCAGAGAAACCGATGGACTACAGTCTATAATTGTAGAACTACAGTGCACCTATATTGTAAGTGGAGCTGATAAAATGGCTAAAATGAGTGTAGATACAAGGAGGTGTTTAAATGAAGTGACTGGTTGGTGTCTATCTTACCTGGTATTTTTACACTGACCTCAGCAAAGAGCCCTAGAATAGAGCTGCTGGCATAGTTTTTTTCATTTCTAACAACTCACTGGCTAGTATTTAGGCAGTGACACATCAAGGACAGAAGGCATAGAGTGATGTTTTTCTCACTAAATTGGTCCTGTCCATTGTAAATCAAAAAGTGATTAGTTGATTCTACTGTCAGTTCTTCATTAGATTATTGGCTAGTCTAATATATCCCTAACCAAAGGGAGAGCTAGCTTTGTTGTACAGGGAAAAAAATCTGACTAGGCCCTTTTTGTTCAGCATTTCTTTTGTTTGTAACCAAAACCTAACAATAAAATAAGAATACTACTGTAATACTTAACAAAGAATAATATATAAAGAAGTTTATATACAAGCATGATTCTACTGAATAAAAATGAACTTAATCACAGACTTGTATTTTTTAATCACAGCGCGCATGATTAGTCTGTGTTTTGTTGTTGTCAAGAAATGTTCTCCAAATCGCTGAGCAGTCAAATAGCATCATAGCCTTATTTGCTTATTTGCCTGTATACCACACACAGAGGTTTTGGTGCATCCCCAGTGGCAGTGAATCTATATTTTATGTGATCGTCATCATATTTGGCACTTTACCTTCTTGGTATCACTTTCGTTCTTGTCTTCAGTGTTTTTTTTTCCTGTGTTTGCAGCTCCCCCAAGAAGTTTGCTAAAGGGAATTCCACTGATTTTTCAAAATGTCTGCATAATTTAGTCCTTGGGACGTCAACAAAGTCATTCGGAGTGGTTTGTTGTTACATGCTCTCCTAGAGGAAACATACTGGCGCAGATTTCTTTACAGTGATGGTGATAGGAACCAGGGATTGTTGTGTCTACAGTACACATATAGCCATTTTATTTATTATCCACAATGACTGAACCTACAAACCCAATTCCAAGAAAGTTGGGATGGTATGTCCAAAGCTAATAAAAATAGAAAGCAGTGATTAGTAAATTCTGTTGACCTGTTTCAAATTGAAAACAGTACAAAAACACAACATTTGGTGTTTTATTGAACCAATTTATTGTTTTTTGTTTGTTTGTTTGTTTGTTTTGTAAATATATGCTCATTCCAAATATGAAGCCTGCAACACATTCCAAGAAAGTTGGGACAGGAACATGTTTGCAACTGTGTTACATCGCCTTTCTTTTTAACAACACTTAATAATTGTTTGGAGACTGAAGACACAAATTGACAAATTGTCCTGATGGTTGGGAACCTCTGCTCTAGGCAATAGTGTCTACAAAACAGTGAGATGGTCAAGATTGGTCAGACTGTATGGACTAAGGGAGACAAAAAACAGCTATAACAGTTTTAACACAATGCTAAAAGGTTCATGTAAAGAAAGCATGAGGTACAAGAAAGGAAACTAGTATGTTTTAGTTATGTTTATAGATATGGCAAGAGCACAATAAGCCACCACATCCTGTTTTAAACCAGGCCAGTAAAATTCTACAAAAAAAAAAAAACTGTCATAGTAACATTTGATGTCTTGCTTCTTTATTATATATGGAATCCTTACCAGACATGTCTGCTCTCAGGCTGACTTTTATTTTTTTAACAAAAACACCATTTTCATCAGGCAGCACAGCTCATGAGACAACACTGCAGCTCTAAAACCCTGAAGCACATTCTGCTTTAGATGTCTGTAAGTTGGCGATATCTTAGGACAGTCAAACTAACTCTACTTTTTACATGAAAACTTAACATACGTCTGATCCTCAATCTTCAAGCAGTACTTTTTACAGTCGCAGACTCAAACTGGCGGTACTGATGAAAGCCCTGTTAATACCAGAAATTAATTTTCAAGATTTCACAAAATTGTCTATATGATCAGCAGGGGATGGAGTCAACTTGACGGTGCTTAATAAGAACCAACTTAGAATTCTTCACAGTAATGGTTTTTGAAACCAGACATCTGAAGTGTTCAGATCCTCTAACAACTACATCATAGAAAGCTACTCATTGAAGTAGTTACAGATACACTGCCTGATGCCTGAGACATTATTTTATCATAATTTTAAGAAGTGTGGACCTAAAACATATTTTTAAAAATCTGAAAAGTCCTTGCTTGTGTAAATGTACAGACTGTTAAAAACGTTTAGAACGCATGAATTGCTACTGCAACTTTATAAACGAATGGGAGAGGAGGCAAAGAAAGAAGCTGTGATGACGCAGCCGATTAAGGTGTTCCTCCA